CGAGCCCGAATGGGCTCTGAGTCAGTAGCCCATGAGGCCGAAGACAGAATGGGCTACTGACTCAGAGGCCATGAGGGCGAGAGGAATAATTGTTTTAGTAAAATCCAACTAGTTGGTCAAAAATATCGAGAATAAAAAACGTTTAGCTAGTTATAGCTAGACTTTAATCGTTTTTTGCCGACAAAAAGCCCGCGCTTTTCGCTACTAGTGGGCTATAACATATAGCCTAGTAGTAGCTCAACCAATCAGAACGCAGCATTTATAATAGATCACTAGTTCGATTTTACTAAAAATCAGCATTAGGCAAATGTGAGCACATCCGGCAGATGTATAGCACATCCGGGACAGTATACATTACAATACCAACAGCGCATGCAGGTGATGTCACGTCACACCTAAAATTGCCGAGGACGACCCTGGGGCTATTTTTGATTGAGTCGACGTAAGATCTTTCATCCTTTAGAGTTTGATTTTTCGTAGAGGACGCGATCATGTTAGATTTCCGAAAAAGTTTCGGAGATTTACGAAGTTTTCATAATTCAGGGCTTTCTCATCCAAAATCGGGCATTTCGGGAAACGGACTCTTCTTTCCTCTCTCTGATTCGAGTTTATCAATTATTTTGCATATTTTCCGATAAAAGTTTTAGTTGAGGTTGTAATATACCTTCAATTGTTCCACCAGGAGTAAGAAATGAATCCGTAGGCCACGAGATCCGGCATTGAATCTCGACCAGCAGGTGCCTAACTCACATCTAAGGCGTATATACGGTCGAGTTGACAGGAATAAATACAATAGTTCAAAACTCCCGTTGTACTAAAAGTGACTTTCCACTCCCAGTCAAACAATCAACGTGGTTTTAGCCTGAGTTTTCGATCTTCTTGATAATTCGAGCCAAGTTGTTTTCCTCCACGAAGTTCAAAAACTCGTCATTCGACTACTCAGTATTAGACAAATAATCATTTACAACAGCTACTCTAGTGGATTTCACTCCTGTAGCCTATAAACTTGTACGCTCTTTTCAAGTGACTTACAGGTTGAAAGCAAATTCTCTTAACTTAATGTGCTAAGACGTCGGGTTTTTATGAAGTGTTGGGAATTGTGAACAAATTATCAGCTGACAAACCTCGTGCTCGGTTCCAATTTAGTCTGTTATTGAAAATTCATGCAAGAGATGTGAAGGTTACCTTTTTAAGCCAGCTCGTTTTCCCGTAGGAGTTGGTGAAGAAGCTAACTTCAGCGAGTCACTGTGAACGGGCGCGTAAATAGAACTCGTCTCGCTTGGTTTAGTAGTGTTATCCAAAGCTATCGAATTTAAACACACTAGGCAATTTGCATCGTATTGTCCAAGTAAAACACTCAAAAGTGAAAGGTCAATTTGCATAACAATGTAAAACCTTTCAGCTAAGAAAAGGTAGATATGGCCTTTATACTTGGAGCCAATCAGAACAACTTGAAACAAAAACTATAATTATTACTTGTTAATAGGGGCCTATTAATTTAGTTAACTGCATACCTCTGAGATTCCTACATGAGTTCAGTAACATCTGTAAACCTGAAGGAGGTTGGTATGACAAGCCGAAATATTGTTATGAAAAAACAATACACGTAGTTCTGAATCAGCTTTGCAGTAGTCTTTGGACTTCTCGTTTTTGATACCTCTGAGGTATTTTAATATTTTAAAAAAACTGCAGTGAACTGGAGGCGGAGAACTAGTTCTAAGGCGGGGTCCACACGAATCTGAATATTTCCTAACACGGCATATTTTTTTATTTTACACAAATTGCCCTTCCGTCCGCAAGAAACCAGTGAAACTCACCGAAACCACATCTTTTTGAAACCGCTCTCCAGAGTGATTTAAGGCCCCGTCGACACGAATCCAGGTAAAAATATATCTGAATTCAAAAATCTCCACATTAGTGTAGACAGGGCCCGTAAGAAGTTTCGCTGCATTGCACTTCATTCGTCGTAGTCTGCACAGAGTCACCTTTCGCCAGTCCTAGTGCAAGTCTCCCCCGGCCGGCTACTAAAGCGTGTGATTTATAGCCTGCGTAGCAACCGTTTCCAATATTCCTCTTTTTTGCTTTTGTCCCAACTTTCTAGACGAACTCGAGCGGAAACGCTTGCTAGCAGGCTATGTGATTTATTTACCATTCTTTTTCTCAGCTTCTCCTACGGGAAAATTTTCAAGGTGAATGTGACTTTTGAGAAGTTAGTTCCGTTTCAAAATCGTCATTTCCTATAATTTTGTACTTTTAACTTTTCCTATTCAGTTCTTAATATTTTTGTCGAAAATGACTTGAAGATTAGCCACTGGCCACGGGGTTTGCTCGTGTGTGTTTCTTGCTGAGTTCGGTCTAATCTATACATTTTCTGGCACCGATCTACTGCTCACAAGCTGATCCCTGGGAACGCCGGAATAGACTATATTTTTAAGCTTGTCTAAAACTGTGTTGCGTTGTTTCCAAGAAACAGCCACAACATAGAGTATTTTTGCACTCGCTTCGGCAGTAAATGTTGGCGGGGTCTGAGATGTGTCTCATTTGCCTAGGGGTGGGGAGGGGGGGGCATCCCATACTGATAAGTCCCAAGAAGGACGGAATTAAACAGCTGTCCATGGCGGCATGCGTAAGGTTATTGCTCATAGTCACGAGCTGAGGAATTTGGAAGTGTGTTCCTCTAGCTCTCAGCATATTATGAGATGTCTTATCAAAAACACGAAATCTCAAAAATTTTTATAAACATCTCACGACTAAAACAAAATGAAAATAAGTCTATCCACCAAAAAGATACGGTCGAGCCCTGCTTTACGGACACCCGCTAGCTTAGACAGACACCTCGTTATCACGGAGAGCCCTCGGAAAAGTAAGCCCTCACATTTTCTCCAAATTCAACCCGCTTAATACGTACCCACCGTGATGTGGACACTTTTTAAACCCCCACCCTCACCGTCTATATTTACGGGGTTTGACTGTACTACGTTTTAAAATTTGAAATTCCCGTCATTTTGTAAAAATAAGGCTCGCCAACCCTTCATCCCCTCTTGTCAAAAAACAACCTTGATTAAAACTACTTTATACATATTGCGTGGTCTGTATGTTTAGAGAGAACAGACTTTCTATAGCTAGTGGCCCTTCCAGATCTTTCGTGCAGGGCGATCGCCACCTCAGGTCAAATTTATAATCGGATAACTCTCATTGACTTATCAAAGTCTGCCATATGGACAATTCTATAATCCGTCTAGCTGCTTCGGCATGCAAAGCCGATTACGCGAGCCGGGGGGTACTCCCTTGTGTAAGCCATCATTGGTATGTGCCAACCCAAAAGGTATGATTTTTGTGTCCATTTCAGTCTGAAAACAGGTAGAGAATTTGCCCATTTTGGACAGGAATCGGATTAAGGTTTTTGGAGGGAACTATGGGAGTGCGTGAACGTATTTGTCGTTCAAAATGAAAATAAGAACGAAAGAGTAATATGCGAATTTAACATGGATTAGGAAATCTCCATGCTGGCCATTCGATGGCCATGTTTTAATCTAACAATGATGACATTATTTCTGCCAATGTAAACGTGAAGCCAGGTCTGAAAACGGATGTGGAAAATGGCTTTTTTTTGTCTGAAATAGGGTCAGGATTTGAAGAACCGGGCGGCACGAGCCCACGAAGAATTCCCAGGAGTACCCCCCGGGTTACGCAATAAAGCGAATTCATGAAATTGTATAGTAAAACTGGAGTAAAAATGTCGCCTTTTAACTACATGAAGTCTTTCAACAAAACTAAAAGAATCTATATTTCAGTATGCAGAAGTGAGACGACTTTAAAAACCACCAAGTGGTAGACTCATTGTGAAGAGGTGTGTAAGATTGGCAGGAAAAGCGCGGAATCAGTTGTGGCTATTACGTCAAACCGTTTGTATACACCACTGCCTGGAGTCAATATCACTCTCTTTCAATCAATATTTATTAAACTATAACGTCTGTTTATAAACATTGTATAAACGAATCAAATAAAACAAGCCATTCTATGATGCCAATAAGGTTTCACCAATATATTGAAGAGACGTCTTTTTTGTGACCTTTATCCTTATTTTGCCTTCAATCATGACTTTTAAGTACACTTAAAGAATTAGATGTAAATCCACGTAACATCCAGTCTGTATCTAGACAATGCAAAGTACCTTCCATGATACCGATCGCGCGGAATAATCACAAAGCACCACTCTGTACTGAACCCGAACATTGAAGAATGTCGCAAAAACGTGAAAACATCCAAAAGAGCGAAGTCGAAATCTCATAAAACACCCGCATAAAATGTTTTCGCAGATGGCGTAAGTTATCCTTAGCTTTGAGGGCCATTTTTTCTTGAGCAGCAATATATGCTGATCAATGTAAGTGCTGCTGCTGTAAATTGCGTACATTAGAGTAAACCTTATTTTCTTATCATTTGATTCTATTTCAGGGCGACTGATCTTATGAACTTTTCAGCAGATATTATCGATAACACTCAGCTGGTCATCTGCGCCCGGGATCTGCGCAAATCATTCTTGCACAAATACGAAGATTTCCAAAGCCCATCGACAAACACAATATTTAACGTCTACATGCTGTGATCATATTCATACAGATTTTTAAATTTGATAGGACACAATAAGCCGACGAACTAAACCATTATTTTCAATGCAAGTGACGACCTTGATAACTTTCTTGGCACACTGGAGTGGATGGAAGAGTTAGCAGGGCCACATCTGTTGTTATCTAACCTCCTAAAAGCAATTTATTTTTATCAATTTTAGCATGCTTGGGAATTGGGTACATTTTGAAAACGGAAATTTCTTATGTTACCTTCATTTCGCCGCCGGGAGAAGACGGGTGATACGGTCGATAAGCCATTTCTTTTGTCGAGTTTCAGCCGAAGAACCTCAGGTAGTGACAGACGTCGTTCTATGCTTGTTGCGACGAGACAACAGTTTACGCTCACAAGTTAAAGGCGTGCGTCATACCTTTGTCACGCTTGTCTAACCATTCCACAAACAAGAACGAAATTAGACGAACAATTAACATCACACTAATTGATGGTGTTTATTTAACCTCTGAAGATCGAATAATAGAATTGGGAATTTAATTGATCAGTCAGAGCCAAGAGCCCAATAAAATTTTCCAATAGTACTTTTAATGCCTTAGAAACAAATGTACGGTAAGATTGGTTTGCTTTCAACTTGTTAGTTTTCTATTGCTTCCAGCGACTGTTGTGAACACACTTGGAATAATGCACCTAAAACCTGTTTTGGAAAACTTTCGCCAATGAATGCTTAGGATCAAGCGTGTTCGTAAAGTTATGGTTACCACGCTACTACGGCGTGTGGGTGTGACTTGTAACCAAACCTAGCCTGTACACAGACTTTGTGGTAAAGTCGAACCGCCATGTGCGACCACAGGCGGCCCAAGCTCAGTGTGTGAGTTTAATCATTAACACATGTAGTTTCATATTGGGTAATTTAAAATGACCGTGAATATAGAGGATTTGTATGGGAATTCAGGTAAAAGATTCAAATCGATAAATACTCGCTAGAATGTTCAATAAAATACAGCTTACCGTATTTATTAAATCGCAATGGATCGGAAAAATAACCACACAGCAAACAAAAATAAGCAAAGTAAATACGGTAAGCTGTATGTTATTGAACATTCTAGCGAGTGTTTATCGATTTGAATCTTTTACCTGAATTCCCATACAAATCCTTTATATTCACGGTCATTTTAAATTACTCAATATGAAAGATTAAACTCACACACTGAGCTTGGGCCGCCTGTGGTGCGACCACCTATCCTAAGCGACCACCTCCCATAAAAACCATAAGCGACCACCTCTCCAAAACACCAAAATTTTCCCTGTCAAAGCCTTACAGTTGGAGCCTCTAGTAAACGATCACCTCCTGTCTGTAAGCGACCGCGACCACTTTTTGGGCCCGACGGTTAATAATTTTCCATTGTTTTTAACCTCTTGCAAGCGACCACTGACGCTGCATTCTCTGATCTCTATGTTCGCTGAGTGCACTATGCTACTTAGAATATACGAAGAACTTTCGTGCCAACATGGAACTTCACATGTCGTAACTGGTTTGTTTTCGTTCTTTTCTAAAAACAAGCGCGCGAGATATTTAACTCTGAAACAAAGAAATTAATTTTTAACTTTATAGTTAACCATAACTGAAAAAAATTAACCGATAGCCGTAAAAGAGCCAAAATTTTAGCCGATAACCGTAAATGCCACCACCCCATTGAGACCCTCAATAAAGAACTACTTTCTTCTCCCCCACCACTACCCACGTGCGCTGGCGGTCAATAAACCCCCCGCGGTTTATATTTTATCACGCGCACTAGACAGAGCTTGAAGAGAAAATAGAGGGTCTTTGAACAGGCTACTTGTAATGGGAATGGCTAAAACAAGTTTTTGTTGTGGTATTCGAGAGACGTGAGTCAGCAGAATAAGCTTTCCCCTTCCTCCCCCCAAACTCCCCTCCCAAAAAAGGCCGTAGTTTTTAAAGACCTCTTCTTTTACGAGTCAGGAGGGATTGGTTAAGGTAGGACATTATTTGTGACAATATTATATCCTCTCTTGACTTGATGATCTAATATAATTCTACTACATCTAACTCCTTGGGTGCGGGGTGTGGTATCCTTCTTAAGCCCTTACCCGTTACAGATCCGGTCTCAACAACTGTTACAACTCTGTTGTCCAGAGAGCACAAAACTCTTTTTCAAACCACCCAAATGATTGCATTAAGTGTCCAATTCAAACCAAAAGGGGTTAATAGCCAATTAAGACACCTCAAGTACGGGAATGCTTCCCTGGCATACGTTTAATCGGACTCTAACGGCAAGAGAAAAATGTTCTACGAATCAAATGCAGTTCTTTCTGTAACAAAAAGAAAGTTTATTGTCATAAAAACTACAACTACATTGTAAGACGACTATATTTGCAAGCCATTTACTAAACTAAGGGTCAACATTATTGCGCTTACAGTACATTTTCCTATTGTACTAGCTTCTGGCTTTGACATATCCCCTTCGTCAAAGAAACCTTTCTCTTTGTTTTATTCTTTATTTGTAGGCATCTATTCCAGCCACCTGCCTTGCGCGACCAAAGTGTTCTCCAGCTTGCGAAGCTAACTTGTTGGTTCCCATCTGAAGGCCTATGTGTTTTTTCCCCTCGCACAGTTGCTCCTCTGTAAAGTTTCTTTTATTCTCCTCGGCTATCTTTGGACCCAAGCAGGGGCCACTAAAGCCTTTGCTTTGTGCCTGCAAACAGTTGCATCCAGTCATTTAAACTTAAGAGTCGGTTTAAGAAAAATTGGACCTCCAGTTGGTTTTTAAAAGAGATGAATACATTCCTAGTCTGCATTATATATTTTCATGAAACTGTTCGTGATAAACGCAGTTGTAATTAGGAGAAAGTGTAAATGACGCACAAGTGTCATGTTTCAAAAATGTTTATCAATGTGTATCGAGCACAAAAAAACAATAACACAAATATACTTATTGGGAACAACATGTTGTTGTCCCTACGTAAGCAGAGACCGCATTCCCAGTACTACTACTTGGGGGAATTCGGGCGATGTGAACGTTCAGCTTGTTTCCAAGGAAAGGCAGTAAGATTTATAAAAATTGGTCCGAGTATTGACCTGAAGTACTCGATCGCAACATTCGGCTCCGGGCTCCGCTCCGCAGTGGAGGAAAAGGTAAAAAAAGGGACTGGTCCCAGGCTACAATTAAGCTAACCCTGCGGTCAGAATACCTAATGGGGCTTCGCTTGAATGGCCACACTATGTAGCCTCCCACGCAGACATTCTTTGGGTTGCAAAGGGGTTTTCCGTGACGCGTGATGTGTGATCGGGCCCAAATTAGCCTCGCGAGAAGTGATTTGGCATAGCAGGGTGATGCGTGATTTACTATTTTCACAACGCGTGACGCGTGATTTTCCTTTGAAATTTCCGTGATGGTTAATGTAATTTGAAGCAAGAAGAAGAGACTGATTAATAATAGATAGTTATGACACCAACTTCTTGCCCTCATTCCTAGACCTCTGATTTCCTCAGATCAAATGATAATAGGGTACTTGTTAATATTTTATTTTATTTTTCCGAGATGCGTGATAGCTTTAAAAAAGAAGCGGCGTGATGCGCCGATAGGTACCCCCCTTTGCCACCCTGTCCTTATAGGGGTCCGCCAAGTGTTCCCGCCCCGCGAACTTTACACACTATGGGCTTAGTCTGCGAAATTAAAATGATTTACCTCTCAATTTAAAGGCTAACAAAACGGACATTCTTGTATAAAGTGGAAATCAGTGAAGACTCGGGGGCACTCAGTCGGGCGGGGAGAAACGCGACGACGCCTGAGTCCCAGAGGATGGAAACATGGCAACTATACTCACGGTAGTCTCACGTCAATCTCCGTTTTAACCTAAGTCGGAAACATGGCTTTAGATACTTCTGAAGTTGTGTGACTGAGTCTTCCCTTAATTTGTTTCTAAGTTCCCGCTAAGGCATGCTTGAAGACTAAGTACTAGAAAAAAGCTTTATTCACTCGTAACAGTACAAAATACTTCTGTCATATAATCAGCATTGAATTGGATAATGAATAGCGAATGAAGCATGTTATGAGCGCTGATATAGGTTTTCCTAAACGTCCACCTATCCCATGTGTGGCTGCTTACATAAAAATTCCCAGAAGTGGCCGGCTCCACTTACGGAACCTTTTTCTCCTACCGGAGGGTGTCCGCTCACGAAAGCATTCGGACCACCGGATAGAAAAGGGAGAGAGGAGGGAGCTTTTGAGCGACCCACGTCAACCGGAAGTGGAGCAGTGGCTTAGACCAAATTTTCAGTTAAATCGTCTCAATAACAGTTAAGAAACGAAGCAATACAAGTTTTATAGCGTCAAGACCGCCTCACTTCCGGTTGAACTGCATCGGCCAAAAACGCCTGAAATACTTACTGTGCTTCCTAGCTGGCACAAGCAATTAACTACCTGAAATGAAAAAAACAAAAACAACAAAAGATAAGGCTGGAATTCCTCGCTCCAGAAACTATTAGAAGAATGGGTACAAGATTTCGGCGCAACGATCTCTGGGATCATTTGGGTTGACAAGCGTTACTTGTGATTGGTTAATGGTTGCCTTGAATACCATCGACCAATCATAATGAACGCTTGTCCGCAGCTGCCCGATATCTTGTATCAATGCCCCTTATAGTTTCTGGAGTGAGGAATTGAATCTTTTCCCCAACAGCGCGCCCTCTGATCGGCTTTCTTGAGATCCCATGACATCTAATTCTGGCCTTGATAGGTGGGTTACGAACTATTAAACTCATACTTGGCTCAGAGTCTGAGGGTTCAAAACAAAAGAAATCGCATTTGGTTTCAGGGATTCATAATTCATTTCTTTTGTTTTATACTCCTCAGCCGCGAGCCAAGTACGAATTTTGATAATTTCAAACTGATCGTATTGGACTACCGTCAAACGAGGGAAATATAGAATACATAAGCACTGTACTTAGTTGTCATTTTCACTTCTCAAAACTTAAATTACAAATACACTATCGATTTACTAACCTTTGTTGAAAGTTTACTAAATGAAAGGTATCGAAAGTTAATAAAATGTTCATTCGCTAAAATAATTTTACCCATGCACGTAGCGTTTCAGAAAAAAGAAATTGATTACTTTGATGGGGATAAAATAGAAGGTAGCTACCTTAAGGTGGCTCGACTGGATTCTTTGGGGGGGATACCTCCCAAGTTTGAGCATTAACTACGTCGGCATGAGTAAAGATATGGGAAAAAGGTTACCACAACTTAATTATGTAAAGATGAAAATTTGTTATGATTTGGGTTTTATTCCCATCGGAGTTGCCATAGCAACGTAATGACAGCATTACGTTTTTTATTTATCTTTGAGTTTCTCTGTACCAGGAGTTTTTTTTAAGAAATCGCTTACGGGAGTATGTACCTGCCATAACTGCCTCAATTATGGCAAAGTTTGAACAAATTCTTATGAGAGCGTTTTCGAAATATTTTGAAACGAAGTTTTAAGAATCATAAAAACAGTGAAATAGCATGCTATCCACAAAATTAGCTAATATTTTAAGAAAATGATAAGCTTTGGATAAGGTTGCACATGCATAACAGGTGTTCACATGGGAGCCCGAAAGCCCAGTAAACTGTCCACAGCCTTTCCGTCTGTTCTATTTTTTACGTGCAAACCGTAAAGAACGCGACAATGCAGAGTCAGCCAGGTGTAAGACAACCGCCTTGCTCTTCGCTTTGATACTCGCGTCAGTTCGCGAGTTTACCAAACAGAAGTAGATAGGAGAAAATTGAGAGCTGCAAGCAGTCAAGGCGCCAAAGTTGAGGCAAGATGTCCACTTTTAAATCGGACATCATCCTCTTACTGAATTACGGCCCATCCTTGTTAATAGTGCATTTAGCAGGCACTCAAGAATTCAAACTCACCGACATAACATTTTGTTTCTGGTACAGGTAAGGAGTGGTAAATCGGTCCTTCACTCCATAAGCCTCGGCGAACTTCAAGAACTTCTCGATATTTTCTTTCTGTTAAGAAAAAGTAAAGGATACTGATTTTTTTATGATAATAAATATACAGTATCATATCTCACACGTTTTTCTTAGTATTTACTCTCTGAAAATTCCGAATTTTTTTCCGTTACATTATTTGTGAAAAATAAATTCTAATTTTTTAATATCCTACGTTTTTAATTTTTGTAGACCATATTCACGCTTCCTGTCAGCTTTGTATTTCTTAAGAGAGAACCTCCTTGTACTTCTACTTGAGAGTAACCACCATCTCTCAGGAATTTTCCCACACTCAAAACGGACATGAAAAAATTGCTTCAAGCTCTGATTGGTCTCGATTTTTGTTTCTTGATTTTTTAACTTTGCTTGTCTTCTTTAACACCAGTCTGTGAACTTCTCTGGGCGCATTAAGGCTGGTTGTTTGCAACGAAAGAGTTTCTAACCTCTTTATTTGTTCTCATAGCAGCGTTTGTGACTTTTTTAGTGTCGTTCATCTTCACCGCTCCAGGCTGCAGCTTGTTGGCGAGTCTGAAAAGAAAGAAAGAATGGCTCATGTAGAAAAAATGGGATTTCATTCAACAAGCCTCTCTTGCGTCAGGGGCACCCAACGACAATTTTCGGGGAAATATCTGTTCGGAAGACGATTTGAGATCTAGAATTTTCGGAACATTTGTTGTAAAATTTCTTGCTTGCATCCCTCTCCTAGGATTTTCGAACAAATAAAAAATGTTATACTTGCCCATTTTAAACTAATTTTTACCCTAAAAAGTTCACCTAGAATTTTCGGGAGCCTATTTTCTGGCTAAAATTTTCGAAAAGGTAAGTTTTGATCCCTTCAATTTTCGAATCACTAGACTTTCAGCTAGGAAATCCGAACAGATGAAAAATTTATAGGGGATAAAAATATGCCTATATCTACCGTTTAAATACTAAAATACATTTGATAATGCTATGTTTAAGTGGTTTTGAACTATATTCTCGTTGGGTGCACCTGTTGCGTTGATACTGAGGGAAAAAAGGTTTAATCCTCTTATGCAGCATAATAAATACCAATAAACAGTACCACAGGCAAGTACTGCTCAGTAGCTTTTATTTGAATGATCACATTGAAGAATCGATTTTATCAAGGAATAGATAGTTAGATCCAACCTCGTCCCAAGGCTCTTCTTTATCTCGTCCACCAGACCATAGGGGGGTGGGGCGAGTAGATGACCCTGGGAACGAGATTGAGCTGAGATCCACTTTGTAAAGCTTAATAAACAGTGCCGCTGGATTTATATGGAAAATGCTGTTTATTAATGATGATCAAGGGACATTCAAATGATGTTATAACCTTATCTTCTTCACTACGTCACTAATTTGAGAATCGTTTCACGACGTATTTCCGGTCGTTTCTTCTCTCCACCAGAAAAGTAATTTTTAAGCTGGAGAGAAGCCACGACCTTAAATTCGTCTGCCTTCGCAGACTACAGTATGTCGTACTTGCAAAGAATTTCACCGTCCATGAGACCATCGGCAAAACCACTTCCAGGAGAGTCACTGTCTTCTGCTCCCCATTCCACTGGTTCTTCCAATACATCTTCGATCCAGCGTCTCACGTCCTCCTCGACATCTTTGTCGTATTTGGCATTAATCTGATAACAAAGAAACGATCGGAAAAAAGGTTTATTCCCTCGATCTACGAAATATTTTTATTCGCCCTCTTCTTCTCATTTCTCTGCACTCCACTCATTCTCGTGAAGTTTGTTGGGTCATTAGTGGGGCGGTCTCGGTTAAAAGTATTGGGTTTCTTTTAGTTCCGCCCTTTTCTAAAATATCTGTAGCCAAGATTTCATTCAATCGAAAAATGACTCAATTAGCTTGGGGTCTTTCAGTTCAATAATTTTTTGAAAATTTTTCAATGATCTTTCCATGTTTTAATGAATACAAAATGGGGGGGGAGGGGTATTTAAAATTTTGGAAAATTGAAAAATATTGGAGTTTGGGGGTAGTTAATATGAAGTAAATAGTAGATAAATACCACCAGAGATAGAAAGATGGTCCACCACCACAACAAGGTGCCTCTGAGCCTATTAGGGGACAAACTGGCGTGTATACTTTGTCTACCGCTAATTTATTTCCTTCCCAAATCAATATCATTTCCCCAATAAAACAACCACACTTCCCCCATTGGCAAAGTTCATTTGCTAATTACATTATTTATTATGAGGTTGGCTCCACAGCGAGTAAGATGAATCGAATCCTGTTTTCTCAATGCCTACCAGATCGGACACGATTGGCTAATCTTGACCGATCGGCATTTCGCTCTTTCTCCCGCAAGAGAACCTTTTTTGTTTTTGCTATTTAATTAATTCTTTATTGACCAACCTGTTCGGTCAAGATGCCTATGCTTTGATACCCTTTGACAGTTTATCGCTGACGTAGTATTCTTACTCACTTTCCCTTTTTGCAACCTCGTCCGAGGGGTCTTCTTGTTTTCCAATATGGCGGCGGCATACTGGAAAACGAGAAGACCCTGGGGACCACATTGTTCATTTTCCGCTTTCCTACGCCATCAGTTCGAGAGGGCTGTCGCGTTTTGCAGTTTTGCGTTAGGCTTTCGCAAGAAAGTCGCTCCTTAGTTATAGCTCTCTCACAGGCAGTTTCTATGTCTCGCTCCAATATTTACGTTTTTAATAAAAGGTTACCCACAACCTGCTCCGTAGGTGGCCTTGATAGTTTTCAAAACAAGCGTCAAGGTTATTGTTTCCATTTTTATCAAATATGCGAATGTAAAAATTTCCTTGAGTTGGACTTTCTCTGGGCATTTTGTCAACAGTGTTTGACACTAAAAGTTTCTTAACAATTCAAGTAACAATTTCACTTGGCACGTCTGTGGGCAGCACTTGCTGCAATTTTTGCCTGATGTTAATACCGTTTAGCTTACAATAAGCTAATTATTTTCACAAGAGCCTATTGTTTCCTCTGTGTTAAATATTTATCCTAGTTCGAACTTTAAAGGACTTCTCTTGATATCGAGCCGGGTACTGACTCAGTTGGAGAAGGCAGAGAACAATTTCGCGATTTTTGGTGAATACTCGAATGTATACTTCCTTATTTGTCACTATATATTTCGCCAACAGCTGTTGCGCAAGCCCGAATGGGATCCTTAAACTCTGTGTACGGACATCTCTTTGGAAGATCGATCTCAGTGCCTCTTATGCACAGTAGGAAGGCTTAGCTACCCTAACCGTTTTTGGCTAGATGCTCTGAAAACTTCGAAGTTAGAACGTGATCTAAAGAATGAAAACAATGCTTCAACTCATGGAAACAGACACCTCGAAACTCCCATGCAAGAGATGTCCAGGGATAGTTAAATATGAAATCATTTAGAGGCTAGTCTTCATCTTTGTAAAACATTTACTGTGAAAATTATCAGTATTTAATCAGTTTTCAGTGAGGTTTGCAACGCCTATGAAGATAACAACGGCGCGGAAGGGACATCTCATCAAACGGAACATGCATCAGATATTTAATCGCAAAAAAAAATAGCTTTCTCTTTGAAGTTAACTTGAAATGGCGACAAAACTGAAACTGTAACTGTATGGTACAAATTCAGTTATTACGAGATCGTCCGGTGGCAAGTTTTTCTCGAAATCTGTGTAAATCTTAAGCTGCATGATCTCTTGGAAATTAATTTACACATTCTAGGTATTAAATGGGACAAAAATTGCTTTCTAGATTATTTAACGTTACCTTTCGCTGCACTTCTGCAGATAAGCCGTAACCTCTGGCTTTATTTTCCGCCATGTTTCTCGTATAACTGTAGTTGGTTTCCTTCAAGTGTCTTTTTCAGGTTCTCACTTGAATTCGAAGCAGAAAGCACAGATCGAAATGCAAAGAATGGGCAAATTGTCAAAGATTTAATCAAGTTCATTCCGCCACGCTTGATACACACGCATGCAACCGGCTGAAACTGAAAAGTCTGTTTTCTCATGTTCAGTGAAAACGGTTTGTAAGCAATCCTGTTCTCCTGTTATTTTAGTAGATAATCACTAGCAATATACGCTATAGCAATTTTTCATAGATATGTTGTAATTTTATGGGGAAAAAAAATTTCTCATTTATGCTAGATCCAGAAATTTTACTTTGGCGTTACAATTTTGGTCCTTATATGGAAAGCAGAGATAAACGTTTTCGCTTAGGTAACCTTTATGAATGACTGACAAGACAAATGAGACGAGTTTTCCGAATTTTTTGCAAGTGAAAGCTTCAAGTAAACAAATACGTGCCGGAAAGGTTAATCATTTCTCTACTGATCATGAATCAAAGACAGCGTGCAAGCTTGTTCTCCGCCGCAGACCCCAGTCTCAGGGCCGGGGGAAACTCACACGTTCTGCTTCACGGGGACGGGTAGGAGAGGACCTTGGGAACGTGGTTGCCCAGTTGCAGGCCCGTCCCCTTGTAAACAAAAAAACACATCCAATTATAAGCCCCCCCGGATAAAGCCCCCCTCCAAAAGCATTGAAATGAATTCGATTTATCATGACGTTTTGATGCTTAATTATTATTAAGACGTATTTTGTTCAGTACTGCTACAGCTCGTTTCGAGGGGCTTTTTCTATTCCGGTAATAAGCCCCCTCGGATATAAGCCCCCAGTTTACTGTCGTCTTTTATGGGTCAAGTAAATCACCCTAGAGCGAAATCTTGATACTGGGATTTGGGCTGGTCACAGTTCGTGTCATCAATTTAACAAACAAGAGGTCTAGGGTTTCACAACCAGTCGTCATTAGTTCATCCACTGCTGGTAACTGCCTGGTACAAAGCTTGCTCTCTCGGGTTACTGAAGAGCGGGGGGAGGGGGAGATCTTCACAAACACAAATTTTATTGTTCCTCTCTCGATGTGTAACTATTTCTGGATGTAGGGTTTAAAAACCATTAGTAGTAAGAATTAGAGATCAGAGATCTGAATTGGGATCTATATTACTATTCATACCTTGATTCATCAATGTTTTGACAGTTAGAACTTGTCTGCTATGAAAACGTGCAGTTCTGTCGGTGCACTATCGTTTACTGTGTTTACTCCTACTCTGGCCGTGTAGAAGACTTGATCCACTCACCGCTGACGTATTGGCCATTGACTGGAGAAACTTTGCTCTGCATTCGTACTTCCGTTGTACTAGACTTGTTGCTCTATTGTGCGATTTCCGGTGCACTCATCCTTTTCTAAAGGAGATCTGGAGAGCAATCGACAAACCACAGTCCTGTGATGAACTGCAATTTAAACTCGAGAGTCTCGGAAATAAGGAAAAATTTTGTCTAGTTTGGAATATGTTTTACAGAAATGCAGCCGATGAACAGACTATTATAAATACTCAGGAGGTTACCACCCCTCAAAAAAGTACAGTATCCCCCCCGCCCATCCCGCCACCTCCAAGAGTTTGCCACAAGCCTTATCGGTAGTATCTTTGACATCTTAGAGTGGTGAGAAACTGGGGAATCGTAATTCAATCGCCAGAAACAACTTCAGAGAAAAAAAGAGAACAGAATTAGTGTTAATGGCGACGCAAAGAAAGGTAAGCTACATTTTAAAATTCCTACACTGAAGATTAAGCTTTCAAAATCCGCCGTTTTTTATTTAGTCAACTAATATCATGCATTGTTAAACAAACGGGTGGTGAGATGCAATAACCTATAGTCGCTGAAGCAGGACGATCTAAACCATTCCACAGAAAGGCTCTTGGAAGGAAGAGCTAGAGGTTGGGCCGGGCAGAATCAAACTTTCGAGTTGATGTTTTGGCCTATTTCAAGCTATTTCATTTCTTCCTTGCGTGTCGAATACCATGAACAGGTTAAGAACGTTAACTAACTCGTTGCAATTGTATAACCTGACTTCAGAGGCGGTTCTTTGTGTTGCAGGTTATAAAGTACACCATTGCAGTTCTCTTAATAACTGGCTTATTGGTTGTGGAAAGCTCGCTTCATAAAAACGCGCCCAAGGTATCGCCACACAGTAATTTTTAGTGAATCATTATAACTACATTAAATGGAGTAAAAAATTTTAGGTACAGGATAACCCCTTTTGGGGGGTTACTTTAAACTGCGGTCCTCGATATTAACTCCAAATCTGGAGTGATTTTTACTCCTGAAAACGAGTTCTTTAAACTCCTCTTGGATAGAATAACTCTACGGTAAGGAGTTAAATTAACCCCATGCACTGGAGGAGTTATTATAACTCCTTGAAAATTACGTATACTGTGCATAATTCGTACTGTATTTTTAAAATTGAATGCAAACACAAACTTCGCCTGCTGGACCCGAATTGTTTTTGCTTGTCTCAGTGTTTGATTGTTTTCAATCTATGCTTTTGTTTGAGCAAGTTCATAGCTTACGTCATCAAGTTTTAGCTTTTTTTACCCGGACGCAGGGTGTTGGCCCTGGCGTTGAATGAGAGGCAATCTATTATTTTTAATATTTCAAAATATAAATGGAGAGTAGTTCATTGTAGCACGTCGGCTATCCGTGCAATAACGAATGTTGTAGCCTCACCGTAGACTACGAGTAGTCCCCATTTTTCCTTAGGGATAGTAGAGCGAGCGAAACGCGAGCGCGCGTGAAAGTCACCCGACGCGAGAAAGGCGAGAGGCGACGGTGAGAGAGAAAAATGAAGGACGTCCCTCATTTTTCTCTCTCCGCACCGCGTCTCGCCTTTCTCGCCTGTGGTGATTTTCACGCGCTCGCGCTCGCGTTTCGCTCGCTCTACTATCCCTGAGGAAAAATGGGGACTACTAGTAGTCTAGCCGCACCGTCACTCTGGTTGTGACGAAAAAGATGATTTGAAGAACTTTGTAAAATTCTTTTATCGAACCATTTCAGGGGGAAAGTGAAGCTAAACTCGAACAAAACGCCCGCCACTGGATAGATGCGCTCCTCGACAGAGTTGACCTCAAGCACTTAAAAGATGAAGAAAACTTGCAGTTGAAGAGACGAACACAAGAAATCCTTACAAAACGAATTTAGAACTGGATTGACTTAGACGGTTTTGAGAAACGAAGGAGATTGAAAAAAACTGTGACAGACAAAAAAGAGCTAGTGTATGCAAGGACAAAAGAAATCGTCGGTATACAAGGACCGCCAGCAGATCAGAAAAAAAGAAAATTAAAATAGTCAAAGCACGAAGAACCTTGTCGTTATTTTAATAGTTCTTCGGGAAACAGCGTCACTACAGCAGTGAAAACGCAAGCATATATAATAGCTCCCTGCGCCTAGCCTGTGGGCAGACGTCTCCAGTTTTAAAAGGGAAAAATAGTAGATGTTTGCACGCAGGCTACATACCTTGCGCCGAACTTTGAATGAGAGCAGCCGACTATGAATCTTCCCCAGTCGTCTGTCATTGAACCTCTGCTGGGCGTGATGGGAAAGAAGGGAAAGCGCAGTGTCGTGCGCATGCGTCCATACCCTGGGTGCCAGAGGTTTTTCATGCGCGGTTTAGTGTGCCCTCGACTGGCGGGGGACAAGTCGGCGCCGAGTCAATTGTAATGCGAACCGATGAGAAATTGCGCGTAAGATATGGATACCCCCCACCCCCTGCCCACTCGCCTCAGTTAACAGTGCATTCGAATGTTTTCAGTCTTACAGTGCGCATGCACGAGGAATAAACTTTCAAAAGTGAACTTTGACGGGCAAATAAGCGTGCCAAGGCCAATCTTGCCGAAGTTCAGTGGCTGACACTCGGCTGTCATTTGAGAATACCTGGAGATTTCATCCCAGTCCTTGGCACAATAGATGTCTGAGAATTTCTTTCTTAAATTTAAAATGTTTTTAATGAGGAAAAATTGCGGGTGGGGCTTGTTTAAAATTAAGGGAAGGGATGACGTTGATTAAAGATTAAAATTAAGAAGTGTAATTAATAGAGAAATGCCAAACAGTCCACCATCAGGTTTTATCCTCGGAGATCCAAGGGCAGCTGGTAGGGATTACCAGGTTTACACAGGAGAAGTTTACAAAATATGGTATCGCCCATGAAAATCCGATAGTCCGCATAAGCTGGCTTTGGGTCAACGAGGGTGAGTGTCCCTGGGCTGCCTCATCCCCAGGCTTTCACAGGGCTGAGCGGTGAGCAGGGAATTTGAAAGCGGGGTACTGGATACGAGCGTGGTATGATGGAACCTAACGCAGGTTAGGTTCCCTTTATATAGAGAGAAAACCGTTTACATAAAAACCCATAAAACGGCCATAAATCGGCCCGTGGACCACACAGGAGAGACGTAACACACATTTTAAGTAAGGTAAGCTGTTTTTTATTGAAATCCTTTCATTTTCGTAGGTTACAGAAACGATAGGTTTTTTTCCCATACAAATCCTTATATTTTGAATGTTACGCAACAATGCCGATGCTCGCCGATGCTCATATTTCGAGCTTGGGCGACCTGTGGTAGAAGAGGTTTTTCTCGCGTGCTGCGAGATTCCTCAGGGGCCGACACGTCTTCGGCCTAAAAGCCGAACCCTCGAGGGAAAGGGGGAAATTTTTCTCCCATTGTTGCCTTCACTCACGTCGTGTCCACTTTAATAGCGAGGCAAAGCACTAAGATTCGTCGAGGACTATCTGGTTTATGTGCAGATAATCCTTTTTCTACCTACTTTTTTAAATTTTCCATTCACCCCCCTTGTATTAAAGGAAAAAATTAAACCAGAAAGCCAGCCGAAACCGTCCATATAAATGGTAAGGGAAAGTGATCCACGCATCGAACACACCTTTAGTGCCAGACAAGAGCATTTATTGCTATAGAAAACTACACCTATTACAACCACCAAATTGTGTATTATTTAATTAAAAAGGTACAAATCGACGTTACTGCACTTACAAATGATATTTTCAAATTTCTAGTTACAAGTTTCAAGAAAAGCCCCGCTATCGCTAAAGATATTTTGACCATGACATCTCTTCTTTCGACTTGGAAAGCTTTCATCTTGTTTTAGAGTTTATTTGTATGCATCTACTCCAGCCACCTGCCTCGGGCGACCGAAGTGATCACCAGCTTGCGAAGCTAACTTGTTGGTTCCCATCTGAAGGCCTATGACATTCTGTCCCTCTTTAAGTTGCTCCTCTGAGAATTCCCGTTTATTTTCTGTGGCTTCTTTAGGACCCAGTTGGGGTACTGGTTTACCGAGTGCAGAGCACTATCGGAGAGAGAAACAGATTTCAAAAGCTGTACAATCGCCGCATAAAGTAAAATAATGAATAACAGTTGATGCAATATCACAGCATCTATCCTTTCGCCTTTTTTCACTTATTTTGAAGATTTGCGGTCAACGGACAACGTCCGCCCTGAATGGCAACTTCACCGGCCACAAAATTCACTCGCCGGTCATGTTGACCGGTCATGCACACTTTCATTCTTGAACAACCAGCTAAATCCTCATCTGTAAATCTTAGATTTGTCTTTTTGTAAAATACAATCACTTTCACAAATAGAAAATTAAACAAGGATAAGTTAACTTTTATCCAATATTTTGGCCGGTCAAAAACGAGACTTAACCGAGCAAAAATTTCTTTGGCCGGTCATCGTGTCTGGCCACCATCCGAAAATTATTTTGAGCCCTAAAACGTTTAGTAACTTGGGCATATTTTAAATTTAATTTTTCTCAATAATAGCAACGAAATTCCATAATATTCAACTTGAAATTTTTTTTTTTTGTACTTTCTTTGAACCTTTTTTGTTGTTTTCTTTGTGTTGTAATTTAGTTATTATTAATAAATAAAAAAATATATTCAACTTGAAAATTGCAAGAGCTACTGTTTGAGCTTACCTTTCGGGCAAAAGCATGCAAACCAGAAATAACCTAATGAAACAAAAAAATCACACATTATTTTAAAAACTGATTCTTGCTGGCATCAGATTCATTTTTATAAGGTTAGGAAGAAGAGGAGGAGGAAGAAAAACATAAGACTGATAGTCCGTGTCGAAGAATTCATTTATTACAGATCAGAAAAGGTTACCAAGTACAGCTGAGTACAGTCAAGTCTCGTCTTGCGGACACCTCGCTATTACGAACACCCCGCTAATACGGACAGCAGCTAAATCCCCGTCGGCGAAAATTACAGACATTTGACTGAAACAACCTCTCGCTATTACGGCGGACTCTCGCTATAACGGACTTAAGGACACTTTCCTCGGTCACAGCAGCATAATTTTATTGTTCTAACTCTCGTTATAATGGCCATCAATCAGCACCTTTCAACATTTTGGACAGAATTACCTCAAATTATAATTGTTTATGTAGTTGTGTTTATATGAGGAGGCGAGCTGGCCTGGCTTGTCGAGATCCCGGTTGCACAAACCGAGATCTCAGCAAGTGTGACAGCCCGGCTCTGATATACACACAACGAAAAGTTTTACGAGAATACAAGGTATGAGCCGAGCCAGCCCGGCTAAAGGCGGTGTTACACAGGACGATTCGCAAAGACGATTTTTAGCCCAACACAGCGTTGCAATGTTGGAACAATGTTGTAACCATTCGAAACAATGTCGCAACAATGTTGCAACGCTGTGTTGCGCTAAAAATCGTCGTTGCGAATCGTCTCGAGAAACATCACCTTAATGGGCTAGCTTACCTCATATAAACAGGCCCTCATTATTAAGGACACTAGACTGCGGTTCCGAGTGTCCACAAAAACGGGAGTTGACCGTAACATGTCCCCACACCATCGATACAACCAAATTTACACTGTACATGGACTAATGAACCCTTCCCCTCAGCGTTCTCCATAGATATATAAGAAAAATGTTTCACAATAGCCCACTTTAAAGTTACAGTTGGAAAAGAGGCTGGAGTTGACCTTGTTTTGATACAACCCTTCTTGCTTTATTATATACATAATAATCATGTTGTTGTTGTACGCTAACTAGTATTTTTTAAGCAAAATTTCCATTAGAGAGGAAAGAGGTTTGTATCAAAACAAGGTCAACCTCAACCTCAAGATCACTTAAAGGCTATAGGACACCAAGCGCTCAACTGTAACATGGCCTATTATCAAGATCTCTTTCACTTGTTGATCATTTTATTTCTTCTCATGACCTTTATCTCAGATTAAGTAGTGTAATTATAAGGAGAAACTGAATGTTGGTCTCACTTAGAGCAGTGAGAGGTAATAAAGGATTTGCTTTCCAGGCAAACCATTGAAAAAGGAGTATGAACTGAACCCTTCCTTGAGCTTTGGTCAATCCAGGGGCAAAGATATCACACACCCTGCCCTCCAACAAAAGTCACCACTTACCCCTGGTATATTCTGGTTTTCATACAAGTCGACGGTCTGAAAGATGTCGGTTTTCGGTACCCCTATTTCATCACAGAACTTCAGAAAGAATCCAATGTTCTCCATCTACAACATTCAAGAAAGGAGCAAATCAGATATTGAAAAGACAAGTGAAAGTTGAAGGGGCTTATGCAAAGAATCTGCTGTGTCAGTTAAACTGAGACATCTCAACATGCAGATTTCATTAAATTTATTAGGAATTTTCAATTTGCCTAAGTATGTACTATGATCTCACCCAAAAACACTTCACTTGCGCGTTAGTCAAGTTACCCTTTAATGATAGGGTTACGAGAATTAATAAGCTCATCAGGACAGAAAAAATGCATTGATCTTTTCTCATTTTTTCTCAGATAAGGTAAATCCTCTATTAAGCCCCCTGGGGTGCTTACTTATTTCAAGCTCATTTGAGGGAGGGCTTAATAGAGATGGGTGGGGTGGGGGGCGGGGCTTATTTGAGAGGGTGGGGCTTATTTGAGAGGGTGGGGCTTATTTAAGTTAGAAAAGATGATGGTATCAGTTCTCTAAAAAGAACTACAATACAAAGTGGAAAAGCTCAAGTACAAGAAGGTTGGAGGTCATGCAGCCAAGGATCAGAATCAAATCCGAACTTCCAATTTGTAAATATACCATTCCAGATCAGTCCAAACAGTAGTGATTGATTAATTAAGTCTATCATTTATTAGTGAAGAATAATTAGGAGAGGGAAGGGGGAGGGGGCGCATGAACTCAGTCTTTCCCTGAAAAGGGCCTATTAGAGGGATGGGGCTTAACAGAGGATTTGCGGTAATTATTTAAGAAAATGTTTAAAGATTAGTTTGGAGAATTTGTAGGTGAATACTGGGGATTAAAGGGTTAAGAACAGAATTTCTTGACATGCTGATCATTGATGGATACCACTGACAAATCTGGGATTCACGGCAATAGCAACAGGTACTAACCATTTTAAAAGCCATCTTGCTGGAGTTCTTCTTGTACTTCCCACCAAGAGCATTAGCTAGGCTAAGGTAAAGAGAAGTAGGCAGGTCTATAAGGGAAGGGTTTTTTATTTATTTTTATTTTCTTATTATTTTACTATATTGCACTGCGCTGTTGAAGGAACACTCTCAGTATGGCCAGTGACATATTTTTATAATTGATTACATGTACCTCCTACCAAAGTGGTTCAAGTCCTGGAGTTAATGCCACTGTGGGTTGAGTTTGTTACTGGTTACTATGTGCTCTTGCTCTAATTAAGAGCTTTTTCTCCAGGCAGTCCACTCTCTCCCTCTTCTCACAAACCAACTTTTAAAGCTTCAATTCGATCCAAATCATTACCTATTAAACTAGTTGTATTGCATTTGCAGTCAACTAAAGATGAAGCTAAGGGTGCAAGTATTCAATAGATTCTTTTTTACAGTGAGTATTAAAACAAATTTTTATAAGGGAAAAAAAACTCACCAGAGGACATAAATACACTTTAAGTCCAAATCTTAATGAATAGAAGCATTGATGGACAGATGGACGAAAGAATGGGTGGTTCCATAAGATATCCATACTCAGGGCAGGGGTTTTCAAGGGTCTTGACTTCCAGAAGAAAATTACAGTTTTGCAAATCAAGCTGTGATCATATGCTCAAGGTGAACAAAGCACTAGCAAGGCTAAATGTTCATACTGCATGATATGTGAGATTGACAACTTACAATAACCAAACAGATATTAATCTCAGCTTTTTCCCACTATAGATTTCATAGTACTCTCACGGTTCATAAACAATTGGCAAGTATTGGGAATGGAATCCTGGGGTGTTCTCAATGCTGCCAATTGGAATAATATGGGCAAATGTCAATTTCGTTTTATTTTTTAGTTTTCATTAAGAATTACAGCTGCAATTCTGGGGGCAAGGTGACTGAGCATTTTGGAATTCAGATAGCAACGGGAGATGCTTTCTCTGAAGGTGAAGTTAAAGATGAAGATCAATGCCTTCTGTGGTAGGAATGGATATTTTCTGGAATCACCCAATGAAGATCAAATAATTCACTGAATAAAGACAGATTGAAGCAATAACCCTGAAGTGTATAAATGTTCCAATGCAGAAGTTCTTTTAAGAACCAATCAAAATTTACTTCCTAATATGGAATTACTGACCCCTCAGCACCACTTCTTGTAGATGTAAACGTTTTTGACCATTTGATTATGTTATAATAATTATATAAATTTAGCCAAGCCTAAAGGTGAAGCTTCCATACATTAATAGACATCTACTTAAAGTTGAGCCCACAATCAATCAAAAACTAAGTAACTTGTCAGTGAAGAACTTCAAAAAGACACGTAACCTCGACAGGTCGACACCTGAGCCCACAATACGGTCATGTGATACTGGTCAGCAGATACCCTGTTTTGACAGCTTCCAAATGACCACAAAATGAATGTGCAATATCAGGTTGCAGGGCTCCACACTAGCCATAACGTTTGACATTTAACATTGGTTTCCCTGTGGTGTGGATGAACAGTTGGTTGGGCCATGGCTTGTACAACTCCAGACGAACAAATTTCAAGGACTTTTTAAGGATTTTTCAAGGGCAAATTACTGCAGTTATCAAGGACTAAGATGATCGCGATGATCACATTATTTTAATACTACTTTCCTTAACAAGACTTGGCAAAATAACTGCAGGGTATGACTTGCAATATTGCATCTGTGGTACAGATTGAAAATTATTGTGAAATAAAGAAACAGAAATAAAATATTGTTCATGCAAAAAAATGTTTTTACGTTACACATGAGTTTAATAATATTTATGGGTTCTTATGAACCGAGGATGAGCCAAATTTTCCTAGGCAAAATAACCTCATTTTACAGAAAAAGGTCTCTGGCTTAGACAAGGTTTTGAGTTTCAAGGACTTTTCAAGACCTAATGAAGAAATCAAGTACTTTTCAAGGACCTCAACCAAATTCAAGGACTTTTCAAGACGACTATAGTAAAATTCAAGACCTTTTCCCCAGTCTAGATAAAATCTTCAACCAACTGATCAGTTTCCTGAAAAATCATACCCTATTCTAGACCCAAACACTCTGGTTTATATACCCTATCCTAGAGTAAACTGCTTGAAAACCATACCCTTCACAGCGGCACATACCTATATAGCCCATATATGGCAGTACCCCCCCCGGGTACGAACCATGTCGGGCAGACGCCAAAATTAAATGGTCACGTCCATATTTTCTTAGGTATGGGGCTCTGCTCGCGCCTGCTGTTATGGATGAACTTGCGGGACAACAGTTAGGGACTGGAAGAATGCATGCATTATTAGCTATTTTTTAAGACAGGAATGCCTTCACTGCTCTGATTCCCTATTCATGAAAAAAATTTCTGTGCTTCTTTATTGGACAGCAAAAAAGTCCCAGCATGGTTCGAAACAAAAAAGGAGAATTTGGATACTTCCGGGTTATATGCTTCTGCTAAAGTCTCAGTGACTCAATGAAATTGAATCAATAAAATTAAATGATGACAACAGTTCAATTAACAGTAATTTGCAACTTGCAATAGATAATACAAAAATTAATATAATTTAATTAACTACTACTTTCATTGGTTATTCAATAGCTGCCTCAAAAACAATTGCTCAGAAGTAAATGCAGGCATGTTTAAAACAAGATTAAATACAAATAGGCAGCGATAAATAATAATGATTTTAACATTTCCTAGCACTTACTCAACAAGGACTTCTCCACTCTTTAGGCTTTCATAGAAGTCTTTCTGATCAGGAGAGGGATTAAGAACTTGTCCTCCAAGAACTTTATTGATCCATTCTCTGATTTGCTCCTCCAACTCAGGGTCATATTTGGCATCTTTCTGTATTTTTGTTATTATTATTAAATCAACAGAGAAGTGGTTAACCACAGGTTCTTAAAGGTTCATGCAGTTCTACAATTGTATTTGTCATACCTGTGATATTTCAGTCATATACAAACAAAAATCCCTCAACAGACAACAATAAAAACATAGGCTCTCTCAAGTGGACACTAGCTGCTCTTAATTAAGTTTAACAGCCTACATTACAAAATCCTAACTCTCCCTTAATTATAACAAAATAATTTTGCTGAGCTTTTCAAAAATACACAAATTCTGAAGTTCAAAAGCCAACTGATGTTTGTGTTCTTTGCTTCGATCAACCATCTTAGCAAAACTCTTAGGAAAGAGAAGTTTACTTCAACAGGTTCAAAAGGTCACAGTTTATGATTTGCACTTGGTGGATTTTGATCCGTTTTGTGTCAGTTTCTTTGTTTCAAGGTTTGTTGCTTGCAATTGTAATTATGACTGACAGCAGCGGAAAACGCAACTGTGAATTAAAGGCAGCTTTTGAACTTCAGAGTTCACGCGTTTTTGAAAAGGGCAGGAAAAGCAGCCATGAGGTGCGGTTGTGGACATGTTTTCTGACTCCACAGACTCCAGCTTCAAATGTACATCAAACACAAGATTGAGGTGTTTGCTCGATACCCAGATGATGGTGGGAAAGTGAATCACGACGGATCATAATATGTTTCTGGGAAACTGCTTACTTACCCCTCCCCTAAGCCAACATTAACACTTACTATTCACTTAAAGTAAAATGTTGACTTAGGGGAGGGGTAGGTGGACAGTTTCCCAGAAAAGTACATCTATAATGATCTGCCACCACCGAGTGGTCATTTTGTTAGGACTCCTGGCACCAGTTGTTCAAAAGCTGGATAGCACTATCCTAATTGCTATCCAGAGGATAGGTATTACGAAAACCAATTGCATTATAATCCACTGGGTAGATATTTATCCAGTAAATACCACTATCCACCTTTCAAACAACCGAGGCCTGCAGGGCTGTCAACCCCCCACGTCTTCAAATATTGAGAATTGATGGGGGAGGGATGATAAATGACGTCATAATGCACACGGCACATGACGTCATTTGTGAAAAAAACGCACGAAAAAGATGTTGTTGGAATTGCAACATTTGACCTAGCTAATTGGCTTATTGCACCAATAACATATTGCTTATATAATTATATTAAGTAACAATAGCATACCGGAGCTTGTGAGGAAACATTCAATGTTAACTGTAAAATAGCTCAAACAAACACAACGTATTTGAAGTTACATTGTGAGAAAGTCGATTCTACAAGAAATGGCAAACTTCGGCGATTATATATATATCCAGGAGATTTATTTTCAGACCCTAATCTGGAGACCAGCAGAACCGGTCCAAAATCTGGACTAATAATATTATTGATTAAGAAGTACTTGAATCTGGATACCAGTGGCCTAAGAAAACAGATGGCATTTCATGATGCCATGACTACGTAGCTTCCCTGCAAAATGATGTCTGAGCAACTTTAAGCAGAGAAATTCCATGCTGATGACATACGTCACGACCCAGATCTGGGTACCTCGGATTGGTTGTGCTGCAAGGAAATTTGTTTCAACCAATCATGCAGAAGCACTACACACATCTGGGTAGTGTCACACTGACAGTAAAAAACCCAACTTAAACACATTTCATCACATTTACAGAACAGATGCCCAACTAAGCCGATACAGCATAAACTTGTCTGCGAAGTGGAATGCAAAACATGTGTTTTGCTACCTTGATTTCTGCTCACATCTTAAGGCTAATGATCCAAATTGCTTCCATTTTTGCTTAAAAGTACTTTTGTCTTCGAAATTCATGGTAAAAAGCACTTATCGATCGACTCCTAAGACGGCTGCTAAAAAAAAACAATAGATAAAAGGCAAGCCTTATCGGATTCACTTGCGAGGCTGCAAAATTGGTTGCCTGGAAACCCACAATGCACCTTGACATCACTCTGGATGACACCAAGGCAGACTGACCAACCACCAAATTATCTTGATAGACATAAAGCAAAGAGACTATCACCCTAATGGCTTGCGATCATGATGAGTCACACACATGGCAAATTCTGATAAAATGATAAACTCGCTTTAGCAAGAGCACTTCATAAGGAATCAAACATTAAAAACAAAAGAACTTTACAAAAACCACAATTGCAATCCATTTCAATCTTCTTCAAATTTGTCCATCCATGCCTCATTTTGTATTTGCTGGGTTATTCATACTTTCTTTGAATGTTTAGAGCAATTATTTTTGTTTCACCCAGTTTGGTGGAAGATCACACTGTTTGAGTATTGACAAAATTCGTGACATATAACTCCTTTACCACGTACTTATTTTTCTAATAATTTATCACACTGTCAAGATAGAAAAATTATCAGGGTTGTCATTAAGAGCCGCGGGGCCGGGGATTTTCCCCGGCTACTAAGAGAGTGGCCCCTGGCTACTTTTATTGGAAAATAGAAGAAAAATAGAACCAAAAGAAATCCCTAACCGTTTGATTCCCCACCTACTTGTTGTATTTACCCAGTAACTTGAACTCTTAGTGACAACCCTGAATTATTACCTTGCCTTTCTTCTCACAATTTTCACAATAATTGGATTATTTCGATTTGATTAGGGATTTATCAAGACATAAAAGTTTCATATTTTCTTTTAACTTCTGTTCATAAGAATTTTAAAGATAAAGTATTTTACAAATTTCAAGCATGAAAAAATCTAACTTTGTAAAACATCTTAACCATCCACAAGTACTACGCATATTTTATAACTCCGGATTTTCTATGTCGTAAATCACTGCCATCTAAGGAAAAGCATATGGGAGTGAACATCATAGAAACCAAAAATTGTGGTCTAGAAAATTCTACGCCGATTGGTATTTATAGCATGGGGTAAAACCGGAAAACTGATATTTGAGAAACATTCAAGTTCCCCTAAGCACATAATTCGCTCCTTTGTTGAATTTATTTCTTTTTTTATGAAACAGAAATTAGAGGAACAATATAAATTTCTAGAAGAATTTTAAGACACGATATTTATAAAACCGAAGGGGCAAATAAAAACATTGCGTGACATGTGATGTGAAATATTCGATATGATGGAATTCAAGAGACGCATGCAATTTGCCAAGAACAACGTCTGGGTCATGTCTGTATCGATAGTATCGGCAGCCTCAAGTTTGGCGAAAGAGGCCCCTTGTACGATAAATGACACTTTGAAAACAACTCTCCAGGAGTAATTGGTCCATTTCTTTCCTGCCAATTACCCTGAAGCGCCATATAAACACAACTTTGATCATGAAAATGAAAAATAAATAAAGATACATTGCAGGGATGCATCATTTTCTGATCAAAAATCAACAATGGTCTCAAAATATAAAAATAAATGCAAACCAGATTAACACATGACATTTTCCAAGAGCTACAAGTATTAGACGAAATATTTAACACTTACGAAAAGTCAACTGCAAACAAAGCGCCGTATTTAATCATGCTTGGATCACAAGTTCATAGCTTGCTTAATTTGACTTAACATTCACATCCCATATACGTAGACTCTTAGATAACTTTCTCTCTGACATTCTCCTCGTTATTCATATGTTGTCCTCAAAGAAGACTTGTAAAGAACTCACTGTAATCAAGGCTAATATTAACCAACGTTAATGGCAATATAGATCACTTGCACAAGATGGCATAATTGCAAATGTAATCGTAACCAACCGCGCCCTCCATAAACAAAACCACTAGCCCAGAAGACTTATAATTTTGAGACGGACAAGAAGATCTACGCCGTCCAGAGAATCATTAACAAAACGTGAAAATGCAAAGTCCATGTAAAAAAGTTTCAAGGTAATAATTTGTCCCGTTTTGCCCGATACAAAGCTATCATTTGCATAAAATCGATCGCACGCAAAATAATGGCATTTCGCTCGCGGAGACACAACAATCAAGTACGAAAATCAACAATTTGCCTATCATCGTACCTTTCTTTGCAGCTCAGCGGTAAGTCCAAAACCTTTGGGTCGGGAAGCCATTTTGTAGCTTTTTTCACGAATAACTGATAGTACTGGAAGGAGGACGTTAACTTGCGATTAGACAAACACAACCAGTCAATCTACTGCATGTTATACGGGGTTTTATAAAGCTTTGCCAGGAATGAAAATTGATTCCCTAGTGACATTCGTTACGTCATCAGTCACGCCTCAGTTTCTGCCCAGATTTTAGTTTTTTTTTTCATTCACGTATTTCCGTGGACATTTTTGTGAAAGAATTTGAAATATCGCCTTCCTTTTCTGGCAACGTCTTACCGTATTTCTAATCGACGCTGGCTTTCACAGCGGTTGAGTATACGTGGGAGAATTTATTCATTATCACGTAATCACAAACTAATAAATAACTATTGTTAGAAAGCGCTTTGTATCGGAAAACATGTATCTGCGGGGTGTAGTTAGCCTATTTTAATTTTCTGATCACATTTTCGAACTGGTATAAGCCCGATATGATGAACTACTATTTGTACTAAGTAAAAAGTTCTCTCTGTGTTGTCACGCAACGCTCCTCATACAAAACGGATAAAGCAGCAAATAAGGGCGAAGGGACTGTTCGTTTATTACTTCCTCGAGGTGGGTAGGGGTGCGAGTTTTTTGTTATGTAGTTCAATAAAAAAGGCAGCAAAACATTTACAAATATCTAAATTTTTTTCTTACTTTAGGGGTCTTTTCCTCTGTAAAGAGGGTGTATAAGAATTAAGAAGAAAATGATTTTACCAACCCTACCGCACACCGCCACCACGGAGGACTTAAACAGTTCCTGATGTCCCTTGCGTTCGCTGCTTGTTACCTAAGAAAAATGTTTGTTTCCTACATTTGCGCCAACGGTAAAAACAGATAAGAGTCAATTTTGGATGCAAAATTATTTAATTCACGCACTGCACAAGTCACATTGTACGACTACTTTATAAAAAATTAAATTATTGCTCTGTTTAATTTCCAAGTTTAATATTATCTTGAACACTTAACTATGTCCTAGCTTTATGAATCCTATTCTGGACCTTTATGATCAGATTAATCAGATCATGCGTAACTCACAGTCAGTCAGAAAAAACAATAATGTCGACTCCACGATTTTTGAATGTTCATGAAAGTCAAAGATTGTTTCCATAATCATCAATCTATGAATGTTCCTCTTAGCTGTAAGCTTTATCACCAGCGATTTGCCTGGGATGACCAAAATGATCTCCAGACTGCGATGCTCCTTTATTGCTTCCCATCTGCAGGCCTATAATGTTTTGACCCTCCTTGAGTTGTTCATCAGTAAATTCACGCTTATTAGCATCAGCTTTCTTTGGGTCCAAGACAAGGGACCTGCAAGCCTTTGGCACCAGCCTGAAAAAAAAGGAGTTACAATCAATTAAATGAAAATCTAAGCTATGTAATTACCATAAACTGCCGCTAATAAGCTCCCCCACTTATAAGCACCCCTGGTTATTGAACCGTCGGATCTTGTTTACTGTGGGTAATGTCGACCGAGATATCGGTCGATATAGCGGTCGATATGGCGGTCGACACTCGGTCGATAGTCGGTCGACACTCGGTCGATAGTCGGTCGACACTCGGTCGACAGTCGGTCGATATAGCGGTCGATAGTCGGTCGATAGTTGGTCGATAGTGGGTTGACACTCGGTCGAGACATGGCCGATAGTCGTTCCAGATGTGTCTCGGCCGATATAGCTTTTCGTTCACCGACACTTCGCCGACTTTTCGCCGACATTTCGCCGACATTTCGCCGACACTTCGCCGATTCTTGGTCGATAGTTGGTCGATACTTGACCGATGTGTCGGTCAGTAATTGGTCGACACTCGGTCGATGGTCGGTCGACACTTAGCATTTCCTACATTTTCCTACATTTTTGCGGGACCACAGGAGCAGCAGATTCAACTTAGGCTGAGACAGGTTCTGTTTAACAGCTAAAACTCAGACGATCGGTGATGATACAAACTGGAAAAAAAAAGGTTATCATGTCCTTAGTTCCCAGTGCTCTTCGGTTCTCTTCATAGCGTAATCGCGCCTTGCACTGCCACATGTCCCTCATCGCATGATAACAGTAATTAATGACGTCTTTGCTTAAAAAAAAAGCCATTGGACTGACCTGATAAATTAACATCCGACTAATATTCGAACGACAGTTGACCGATATACCACCGACAGTTGACCGATATACCACCGACAGTTGACTGATATACCACCGACAGTTGACCGATATATCACCGACAGTTGACCGATATATCACCGACATATGACCGATAGTAAGTCGAGATGCGTCGACGAAATATCGACCGATACTCGGCCGATAGTCTATCTCACTATCGACCGACTATCGACCGACCATCGACCGACCATCGACCGACTATCGACGGACTATCGACCGACTGTCGACCGACTATCGACCGACTGTCGACCGCTATATCGACCGACTGTCGACCGCTATATCGACCGACTGTCGACCGCTATATCGACCGCTATGTCGACCGATATGTCAATCGACATTACCCACAGTAAACAAGATCCGAACCGTCTACCTTAGCCTCCCATGCATTTGTTTTTAGGGGAGCTCATATTTCATCCCTCCCTCTGTAGGAAGGGACAAAATACAAGCAATGTCTGCATGGGAGGCTACATCTACCTATAAACAAAAAATTAAGCCAGCTGTAAGCCCCCTCCAAATGTATTGATATAAATTCAATTTATTTTGACGTTTTGAGGCTTAATTAAAAACGACTAAATGCAAAAGGTACTTTGATCAGCCCTACTGTAGCTTGTTTGAAAGAGCTCTTTCTATTCCTCTTATAGCCCCCCTCAGATATGAGCCCCTCTATTTATAAGCCCTCCTACAACCCCTTACAAAGATGTATAAGCAAAGAGTGCAGTATAAGTGGCAGTTTGTGGTATCATTGGAACTTCTGCTCTATACACTTTTGGCTTGTCTAAATTAAGACTTCGTAGTTGATACAAGCCTCTTAAAAGGCTTGCATTACTTAAGTGTATAGCTACTGATGGTTCCACCATATCACAGAAGCCAAGTTGTTAACATATGTGATATAAAACCAAACTGAATAGTTTCAAAACATCGGAAATTGAATGTGTAATATATGTCATTTTATTATGTCATAATTTGGTGTGCAATGAAATCCTTAAACAATCAGTGTGACAAAACCTAAATGCTGTTTCTAGTTGGATATGTTATTAGGCAGAAATACCTGCCAGTAAGTGAAATGAAATGAAATGAAAAGAATGACTTACCTTAAAATGACTGAGTCATCAGTGTTGATCATGTCGTGACATTATGAGGATGACCATACCGCAATAGTCAGGATAAGCAGATGAAAAACTTCAGCTTGGTGTACAATGAGAATTTGATTATTCACCACTTTTCAGGTAATGAGTATGTAAAACTTGGAGCAGCTTAATGTATCTTTAACAAAATTAAACACAAGCATGCACTTTTCACAACTCAAGCTCAAACAAAACCCTCCAGTCTTTTCACTGCTTTTCATTTTTTTTCTTATTTTAGAAAGAATGATCATACAAATACACCAGTATATGTATGTCCCACTTTATTGCACTTGATGAACTGTAAGTATAAAGATTACTAGTAACAATGCTTTAATAAGTTAATAAAAAAGTGGCATGCATTAGTATTCAAATACTGTGTTAACAACATAGCTAACTAAATGCCTTCCTGCAAAAACCAGCAAAACCGACTGAATGACAATTCAAAAGCATTACTAACAAATATGTTATTAAATTTATCTATTTTAACTCATGCATAACAATGTCAATAGTCAACATTAACATATAACCGATCAAATGAAGTATCATTGCAATGAAACTCTTATTACTGACATTTTCGAAGGTTGTACTATATTATAAGTATTCAATTTCACTAAGATCTCTTTTAACATTGAACAGTACAGGCACAAACTGATCTGCTAATAACGTTAGCAAAAACTCTCACTGAGTCTTTGAAAAAAGTTTGTTCTGGGACCTTATCAAGAAACCTTTCAAAATTATAATCAGGGATTATTTTAACTTCAAATGCCCATCCTAATTAGCTTAACTTTCTAACGTTTATGCTTAATATTTGTTTGAATTTATTTTCACTTGTACTTAACTAAAAACTTGCATTTTTAAATCACCTACTAAGATTAAAACAAGAAATGCACAAACCAGTGTTCATCAGTGTTGAATTGATAGAGTGAAAATTAGGGTGAAAATTTATGGTCAACCTAATGGAACTACTCTCTGTCAGTGATCAAAAAGTGATTAAAAAATATCATTCCAACCAAAAATAATAAGTATGTTTTCGATCGTCATGTGCCGTCAATTGGCGACGACCTTCGCAGATGTTTATTTGTAGGCATCTACTCCAGCCACCTGCCTTGGGCGGCCAAAGTGATCACCAGCTTGCGAAGCTAACTTGTTGGTTCCCATTTGAATGCCTATGACATTCTGTCCCTCTTTGAGTTGCTCCTCTGTGAATTCCCGTTTATTTGCTGTGGCTTCTTTTGGTCCCAGTGGAGGAACTGACAAACCTTTTGCGGTAGCCTGCCCATGAGTACACATGATTGAATGATCGTGAGTAGGAACACTGTTACAAATTACAACATTTTCCTGTGTGTTTGCAAGTGCATGTATGTAACACTGAGAAAAGAAAACCAGGGCAGGTTGACACATCCCTATATCATGCCCAGTGTGTCGTGTGTTCAGGTATGTGTAGTGTACCAAAGTTCAATTTCTTGAGGCTGGGGGAGGGGGGAGGGGGGTTAGTTTAAGAACTTTTGGGTGCAGATGTGCCACAAGGACAGTGGAATCCTTAGCCTATACCAGACCTAGTTCACCCTACTAGACTACGTTCCGAAAATCTTTCCTTAATTTTTTCCAGGAACTAAATAGTTTACTGAGGTCACCAGAACAGTCAAATTTAAATTTCCCTTGTGAAGACTAAAATCTTGAAACCTCTTTTTAATCCCTGAGATCAAAATACAATTCAAGCTGAGTACTAGGTAATCATGCATTTGTTCACTGTTTGTGGCCCTTTATGCATTTCACTCAATTTTCAAAACTTTCACTGTCTGTGGGAACTTTGAGTATAAAGGCTGGACAAGCAACTTAATGCAAGTTCTTTATAACAAAAAGGTAAAGTAAAAAATATAATGCTCACCCTACGTCCAGCAGCATGAATCTGAGAAATCACCTGAAATTTAACATTTGAAGAGTAAAGTTAATCAGTCAAGTAGTCTGTGTGCAGATGTCTCCTGTTTCCTTCTTTGCTACTGGAAAAGGGAGGTCTGCGCGGGCGTAACTCCATTTGTCATGTAATGTCAAACTTAAAATATGTAAAGTTTTAAATGCTAACAAGGTCCACTGTTCTCACTCATTTGCATTTATTTAGCTTTGACCCATGTGAATTTTTTTAATGGCCTGACCTATAGAAAAAATAGATTTTTTGTCACTGTTACAGAAGGGCCTTGAACAATGACAGTAGAAAACCTACAATCTTGAACAGAATAAAATGGAACAGCAAACACCCATCTACCGCAAATGAATAATGGAGACACAAGAAGGCCAAAATATCACATTTTCCCATCCTTGCATGATTTGGGGGTAAATGGGTGTCTACGTTATCTATTGATTTTTTTCAATTCAATTCAATTTTATTATTCACACTTTATAAAATATTTACATTACATATAGTCAAAGATCATTACAACAGTAATTTGAAGTAAAGATCATTTACAAACTGTTAGTAATAAATTATTTATAACATTTTTTAATTGCAACTTGGTTTTTAATATATTATTTTTAATACTCACATTAGCCATGTTTTGTTTTTCATACAAGTCCACTGTTTGAAATTGATCTCCTTTAGGTACCCCAAGTTGTTCTTCACAGAATTTTAAGTATTTACCAATGTTCTCCATCTGAAACAAACAAAAAATAACAGTCGAATAAGCTCTCGTAAGCAAACACCTCAGGAATTCAAAAAAGTGGTCGAAACCACAGCTTGTCGCTTGCAACAATGAACTCCCTCCCTGATTTTTTCTGAGGGGAGGGGGGCATCAAGGTGTGGGAAAGAATGTGAGAGCTCTTCGTTTCCTCTGCTCCTCATGGCTTTGCCGCTCAATTGCGCATTTGCTAGCCAGTCCCAACAGAGCGGTTGCTCTCAGTCAATAACATTTTTTGGTAGTCATGTACGTTTGCTATTAATGGTGAGCCACAGTCGCAGTCAAAATTGTTGGGACGTTTTTGTGTCTTCTCCTCCTCTCAATGTGGTGTACACGATTTGCCGACTGAATTGCAATAAACAACATTGGGAGGGAAAAGGGAAGCACGGGAAGGGAAAAAAGGGGTTTGCGTTAAGTGTCCTAACTATTTTTGTCTGAGACTGCAGTTTACATTAGAACTCCAAGGACAAATTCAAGCTATTTATATACTAAGAAAGGTCTACTATGGCTCCACATCTCCTGTTTCACCCACTTTTGGAGCACTCACATGTGCCCAACACAAAAAGTCCTCACATACGCGCGGTACAATGATGACACTCAAGTTTACTCTCCGAAAGCATCTTGTTTTTGCTTGAAATCTTTTAGAGTTTGCTTCATGCTAAGATATTGTCTTATAATTGTCAATTTAAGGGGAGCTCAGCTTTTAAGGTTAAGTAAATTCTTGATGACATCAGTTTGTTAACACCATGATCAGGTTTTCATGGCCAAAAAATCGACTACCATGGTAGCAGGTGTAATTTGGTGGAATGTGAGTTACTGTCATCATTGTCACCACAGCCAAAATAGATCTCTAGTTTGACTTTTTTCTCATTTTTGGCCTTTCCTTTTTAACTGCCTTTTTCCTTTATTTACAACTGTTGGCTGTCTTGATCTCCTCCACGCTTTAAGAGGTTCTGTGAGACACGTATTAACAATAACAATTCAGCTAAGATTGCATTGACACCCTTTTTTTCTAGGGAGTACGTATCTTTTAAAGTTGGCGATATCATTGAATGCAAGTTTTTGTTTTGGAGGTAACAACACATCTGACCAAGAGAAACCCTAACAAGAAACTCACTCAAAAATCTGCAATTACTGATAGCTATAATAGACAGTACCTTTTTGAATGGTTGATTCATCGTATTTGCTTTGACTTCAGAGCCACAGCTGTGGTTAGGATCAGCTGTACGTAGTGCATTGGCCAGTCTGTAATTTTGTAACATTAAGTTGGAAACTCATCAGAAATGACAATACAAATTAATTATAGAGACCTATAAAGATTCACCATTTCCATGTACGGTTATGGGTAAATTAGTAACCTGTATGCATAGCGGTAATTACAGGTAGATTGCCTCTTACCCTGGAAAAACGGGTAGGCTACTGGGTAGAATGGTAAAGCCATTATCATATCTGGGAAATCATGACTGCCTTTTATATAACTATGGGGCAAACATGTTCACCTAACCAAACCAGTATGCTAAAATGGTATTCTTAAGGTCACTATAATTTTTAAGAGCTAACATTCAACATCCAAGCACAGGTTGCAAAGAAAGTCAATTTTACAGCCTGCCATTTGGGCAAGCTGTAGCTAGCATGTACTACGCCCACAAGTCATTAAACCCTTTTTGATTAGCTGGATTGATTACAATCCTTTTGTAATTTGAATTTCCCAAAAAAACAGCAGCTGCCCATCGGGCAACTTAAGAACAAAAACCACCAGCCCGATAACAAAATCCACAAGCCCCGGGCTATCGGACACGACTTTCTTTGCGCACTGAAGCAAAAGGTAGCTAAGGTAACTTTTTTGAAATGCAGACTTGATCTGGAACCTGCTAGTGTTCGTAGCCTGCTCCACAGATCAACAGAACTAAACTATTGAATAAGGTAGTCTAAGAAACAGCTCTAAAATCCTTGTTCTGGGCCCTTCACCTGTGTGTACTGGGATTTGGGTACGCACCATGATTGCTGATCAGGTCGAAGGGTCATTCAAAACGCATTTTCAGTAATCCGTTGAGTCTATAGGGGACCTATTGGCGCTGCTTCCTAGACGTACAGACAAGTATTCACAGCACATAACTTCCTTGAGTACAGTATTTTATTTGATGAACATGAAACTGGGGTAAGGTCATGAAAATCAAAAAACAAAAACAAAAAACCTGAAAAGTTTACATCTTCTTAAGCAAGGTGGAATTTCCATTTGTCAATTGGCTCTCCCACCTTCATGCTACTACCTTGAGATCAAGCTCGTTTCACTCACCATTTTTCATGCTTTGTCACCTGGTAATTTATCTTCGGCAATCAGTCTTCAGTCTTCATAATCATTAATACCGCTTTGTACTAATTTCATGAAATTTAAATGACCCCACAGGTAATGCTCTCTTATCTAGAAATGACCCCCAAAACCAATCAAGATTTTGAAAATGAACCCCCAGCAAAATGGCTGTCCCCATTTCTGAGCCACCATGAAACCATCAACAGAAAATGAGGCCGTTTCCTTCCCTTTTAATATGTCTTGAAGCTAACAAATGTGTCTTGCTATTTTTTCATTACTGTTATAGAGACAATATGCCCAAATATTTGGGCCAAAACATCTCCCAAGGATGCAAAATGTCTGGTTGATGGGCGTTGCTCAAAAATGTCTTTGCTTAAGTTTGCTAATAAACAACCAGCCCCGAGGGAGTCTATCACAGGCCAGCCGAATATCCTGAGATCCAGAATTACGTGAAATGTATAATATTAAGGCAACAGAACGGCAACGGCAGTGAAAATGTCACCCAAAAAGTGAATCTGTGCTGTTTCAAACTTCATTACTGTTATTCTACATTGTCAAATGTTGGGATTTTTTCAGGAGTTGAATTCTAGAGGACTGTATCTAATTTCACAACACAAAAAAGAATATCATTGTCTTGTGTTCATGTCCTCTACAAAATGTGCAAATAGGAAGCTTCAAACTGTAGTCGAGCAGTGACGGCAAAAAAATGTACAAAAAAGCATGATGCACGTACAAAGTTGTTATTTCGCCAATCTTAACCTAATGCCTTTCTGCTGTTGCTGTTGCCGTCATCATTGCGTTATAAGCTCGATAATAAGTCTTACTCGCAAAGGACTCTGCCATCAGCCAAGCAAGCTTGCACATCATCTGGCCCACTTTTCCCCCCAAAGACATCTCTTCCAAGAACAGCTTCAATCCAAGCAATTGCCTCAGCTTCCTCATCTGAATTGTATTTTGCTTCTTTCTGTAACATAACAAAGCTACCATTATTCACTTATTCTTGTTATGGCAGAATTAGGCATATTATATTAATTAAATACTCTTTCTACATAGATTTAACTTAAGCAACCAGCCAGGCACAACCAGACAGTGTACTGCATAATACATGGTTTCATATTATTAATTTGACCTTGATTTTTTCTCTTATAAAACGTGAAAGATAACGCTGATGTAACTTATTCTATCAAAACAGGGCTGTCAAACTCTCCCAGATAATCCAGGAGACTCCAGATTTTGAACTGTTTCTCCCAGTCTCCAGATTAGAGTCTAAAATCTCCTGGATAATTGCCATTTCTTGTAGATTTGACTTTCTGACAATGAAATTTCAAATATTTTGAATCGTTTGAGCCATCGTGCTGTTAACATCAAACCGTTTCCTCACATACTCCAGTATGGCATTGTAATAACGTGATTGCTGGGAAGTAAACCAATTAGGTCAAATGTTACATTTCCAACATCATCTTTTTTGAGCGCTCTTTTATCACAAATGACGTCACGTGCCGAGCATTATGACGTCATCTTTCATCCCTTCCCTATCATTTCTCAATAGGCTGATTTAGCAACAGAACAGGAACGTCAGTTGATGACTGCGCAGGCAAATCAAACAACTTGCTTGACCAATGGCAGAGCTACAAATTGCACACCGGAAGTCGAATTTAGTCCTTTCCGCGCGCTTTCCCGTCGTCAAATGACGTTCCCTTTCTGTTGCTAAATCAGCCTAATATTTGAAGACGGTTGACAGCCCCGTCAAAATATCATAACTAGTCAATCAACAAATATAAAAAAATCGACGAACACCACCGCGTATCGATAAATCGATTGGTTTTTCGGTAATTCATCTCCATCGATTTGTTACTATATAAGCCCTGAACGTATAAAACCGCGGTGTAAAAAGCACTAGCATTAAAAACCAGATTTTCACAAACTTCCCTAAGTAGACTCGACTACACTAACCTTAAGACTTGCACAATCTTTTTTTTTCTTTTTGGTCAAGTTTACATCCAAACAGTTACGTTATTCATGAATACCGGTATACTTTACGCCAACAAAAGCAGCACTACATGCAGCGCACGTCTGCAGCGCCATTTTGAAATAACGCGGGAAACTGGGATAGACTTGAGACCAGTCTTTTATCTGTCACACATCTTCACAAGATCGTCACACATATGGGTGGGGTTCCAAGGAGCTTCCAAAACGACCATTTGGCTTGTTATAGAACAGCCAGATTTATGAGCAATGGTAATGCAACTTTGTCCACACAAACGACAAAACATGAAATATCTTTGCTGTGACCCGATAACGTGTTGATTGCATTAAAAAGAGCGAGACTCTTAATTTTTTTTTCATGAAATCGAGTATTCAAGGTGGAGTCCAAGCAAAATAAAATAACACGTTTGACTTTCATAACATTTTCGATGGATTAAAAATAAGTATGAGTCTTAACGTAAACAAATTAGAAGGTTTGCATCAGTTTAATAGTTTTTCTTTTCCATACTGACCGAGGCGATTGTTTAATAACAGCTCAGCGTGACAGAATCTGTTTTTAACACGAAAAATCCTTGAAGCCCAAAACACAAACAAACATTTTAGTAACACAAAAGTGAACAATGACGATAGTTTGCAACGAAAACTACAAACATGCTGATGCACGTTGATGAAAAAACAGCTCCAGATATTTCATGTGCGCATCGCTCAATGGAAAACTGGAACAGTAACAAAATCCAACTTTCAAGTCAATTTCCAAAAATGATTTCTGCCCTTGAAAGTACATATTGTGAAAAGAAAAAGAGGCTTAAGTTAGACTTAAGTTGGAACATTGACGCAGACATTCCCCTGAATTACTTCACCGCAAAAAATAAGTCGAAAAAGTTGGGGACACTATTGATGGCCATACGTGCTCTAAGTGAGACATTTCTTTCCGTATAAATCCACAACTTAAATTTAGTGACATTTTTGCAGGTGTTTTAATCCATCCTTACCTTACGTTCTAATTCAGCGCTGAGTCCATATCCCCTGGCTTTATTCATGCTGAGTCTTTTTAGCCAACGAAACAAAAAACGCAGCTGATGGTTCTTGCTAGCTCAGTGTTGTGCACGAAAGCACGTCCAAGATAAAAGTACCAATGTATTACAGTTGAGCGAGCCTAGATATCTCATGCCTAGAATCCCAGTTATGTGGGCGAGGTCGTGACACACATACTGATTGTGGCACACGATACGCTCTCTGCATTCATAGATGTTTTCAAGGTCTCCAATTTTTAAACATGTTCTGCTTAAAAATTACCGCTTGACTATTAAAGGGATTTGCAACAGCAATAGCAATTAATTCAAGAAGTGTCTAAACATTTTTGCTGCGTTCGTTTCATATTTCAAAAAACATCTTTCTTCACGGTCCGCCTTCCAAATTTTCAACCTTCTTAGCGGCCATTTGATGACAAGATCAATGATTACATAAAACAAAACAATTTTCAGACTTAACTCGACATAATTTTGGCATCTTCAATTTCAAATTCGGTTCGTTACAATATATTTCGATCGAAGAAACAAGATGGTTATGGCACAACAAATTAAAAAATCAATTAACGTGTGTAGGATTTTAAATCTTTGTCTCATACGGGGGGTCCTGACTTATGTCATTTGTTTGAATTAAGATAAAATCTCTAAACGTTCACCACGTAGTAACGATAAATGGTGCAGTGAGGCCCGTTTCAAACGTCGTGCTACTGCCGTGCCGGACTAAATTCATCGAGTTAAATTCGACTTTAGCACGGCAGTAGCGCGACGTTTGATCGCCAAGTCGTGCTACTCGGCAGTAGCTCGACTTGGTAACTCAATTCATAAATTCTAAATACATTAGAATACATTTAAAAGTTTGCTAAACCGTTTCTTTATTTTTGTGTTTTGTTTTCGGCAACAGCCGTTCTCTTCGACTAAATTAAATTCGACGTCTGAAACCAAGTCGCGCTAGTGTCGTGCTGCAGTCGAGCTACAGTCGAGCCAGCTTAGGATGGCAGTAGCACGACGTTTGAAACAGGCCTAAAATAAATAATAATGCGTTAATACGAGGTCGCAAAAAATTAAGTGCCTCACAAACCGTATTTCCCCCGGGGAGGGGGGAGGGGACGGGCTTAACAACGTTTTGTAAAGGGAGCCCCTCGCCCCGCGGTCTAACACCTTACCCTTTTATCAGGAAGCCATAATCATGGGCAGATCCCCCTTTTGGATATCATTTTTGACAGAAAAGGCCCCCCTTTCGTATACTTTCTATTGGCAAATGGTATCCCTTTCACTTGCCTAGTTTTCAAGCTGAAAAGAAATTGAATTCATTCATTGAATTCACATTCCATCGAATTTAAGATAACATGAGATCAGGCTCTATTTTCGTTTCGCTTTGAAAATAACATTCTGGCCGGCAAGGCAATTTTAGCGGTAGCCGTTAGAGAGAATGTATGAGAACCTCTAAAATTGGGCCTGATCTCAGGTTAATTTAAGAAAGCACTCGAGTTCTCAGATTGAGACACGACACGTACTGGTCTCAAAGACCACAAGGGCGAATGAAGGACGTTGGACTTGGAAGGACCAGATATATCTCGCCGCTGTAATTGTCGCTTTCGTAAACGGTCGCTGCCATTATATCGATAAATAATTTTTGGCCTGTTATAATAGTGAGGGTGTTTCTATTAAAAAGAAAGGAAACCGCACCCCAGGGTCTAACCTGGGATCTGGGATCCTATTTAAACCCGAAATGTTTTGATTAGGGCGACGAAAGTAAGGCACGGCATTCATGGAAAACAGGCTTTTTTTTCGTAATACTCTATTTAGCGAAACACAGTGAATGTACTTACGTTTTTTAAATTTTTTATATTTCATCCCTGATGAATCTGTACAACTGTGCATAAATAAAGATTACTTACTCAAAGTAATACTTTTTCGAAAACGAGGTACTTGCCTCCGAAAATAAATTGAAGCATAATACAATGGTGTCAATGGTGTTGGCCCTTACTACAAAATACATAGCCAAGACGTCTTTATTTTAAAATCAAACAAATTCTTATAGTGCATCGGTAAGAATTTTCCCCTGGCTAGGGCTCTGCACTCATTTGCAAGTTCCACGTAATAGCTGCTGTTATTCGCGTTACGAAATATGGAGATAAAAGCAATCCTAACAATTTATTAGTCTATCTTTGCATGATATTTATTTACAGTGCATTCTGAAAAACGGTTTTATATAATACTAATATTTAAGAAAAACATACACACACGCACACTTGAAAGACAAATGAACGCGATACACAAAAAAAAGCCAAAACCGCTGCTATCTGGACATCAACGTTAGCGAAAAGGGGTCATCGGGCAGAAACTTGGTTTGCTCTGGAAAAACAAAGAATATCACCAAATAATAATTTACTGAAAATCCTCCAATAACAACAGCATCAACAAAACCAGATTAAACACACATTGGTTTTGATACAAAAGTTTTAAGAGAAGAATCGCGGTGGACAAGAAAATGGTTTTGTTGACAAGTTCACTAGGAGAATTGGCCACCGTGACAAAATTTCAAAGATAATAGAGCCATTTATACGAGGAAAAATAAGGCGCGTCTTAAATAAGACGCGAACTGTACCATTTATACGAGCATGTCTTATCTAATAAGACGCGTCTTAGCTAAGCTGCGTCTTATTTTGGACGAAATGTGCCGTTTATACGGAAAGTTCGCGTCCTATTTGAGACGCGTCTTATGTAAGACGCGTCTTATTTTTCCTCGTATAAATGGCCCTAATGTTTTAACGAGCTGAAGCCCGTTGTCAGAACTCAAAAACATCTCTTTCCCCTGACTAGCAAATTTTGCGATCGCTTTGTTTTTGTATGGCTATGCTCTTTGATTGGCTAAAGAAAATCTTCCGACACTCAATCGGCCGATCAGGATTAACATCAAAAGTAATAGTAACCTGCACGAGTTTCCCGCCCTTCACGCCGGTCACGTGTACTTGTTCCAAGAACTTATAGGTTACATTGCCAGGTTGTGGCTGGACTGCAGAACCGAGCGCACTAGCCTCCGTTTTCAGCCTCGCTCCAGACATTTTGTTTCACTGTTGGCGCATTCTTGACTACGCAGAAAATATGGACTGTTTAGGTTGTGCCTTTTCTCAGTGGTTTTGTTTTACGGCAGCGAATTCAAAATGGTTTATTAACTTAGTTGTTGCCAGGGTTACAGTCTGTCTAAAAACTGACCTGATAAATACTCTGAACCAGCACTTGTAGCAACTTCTTTCCAGTCATAAAGATATCTAAAAAGGGTGAAATAACCATTAATGATACTTACGTAAAAATTCTCTAAAGCCCTTTCATATGGTAACGACAAGCAATATCAGCGAAGACTGAAGCTTTTTTAAGACAATTTTGCTGGCAGCAGAATTAGACTGATCACAGTCCCCTATTTTTTCGTCCAGATCGAGCGCTTTGCGTAACGGGCAGCCATCTTGGATGAGAGTCAAAACTACCTCCCTCCCCCTATCGCTTTAAACCCTGACGCCAGCCCCCAGGGTACATATGAAACCAAGATGGCCGTCCATACTGTTAAGCGGTCGATCCTGACGACCTTACGAAAAAATAGGGGACTGTGAACAGTCTACAGCAGAATCAGTTGCGATTTTTCTAATGAGGAAACGCGCGCCGCGCTCTGTTTTTCTTGAGTCCATTTTCCTTTCCAGCGTCTATCTGCTACCTTCGACTTACATGCAACACAACTTGACTCTGTCTTGCATAGTTAAAGTAATTCGGGTGATGAATTTCCTAGAAATATTAACAGATATCAGATGTGTTGGAAGGAGTCTTGGAAATATTACCATACCCGCCGGAAAAACCAAAAGTCGCGTTAATAAAAGTGCTTTTACATACTGGTCAAAGTTCAATCCGTTAGTCCATTCCAGCAGTTCATCCACTTCCCAATCTTCCACAGCATCCTGCCCCCGTGTGTCTGTGATAGTAAGCATTCCTTCAGCTACTGACTGTACCACTTGCTCAGTTTTCGGATCTCCCTGTCTGGCCCTCAACATGCCTTCCTTGTACCTGTGCACAAGGTAGAGTGGGTTAGTCTGTGTAACTGGTGGGGTTTCAGCCCTGGGGGAGGGTACTCCCGATAATGGCCTATACTGGGAGGCTCCGCCTGAAAGGGGTACCTTTTGAGGCTTAAAGTATACAAAGGGTAGAGATTTCACTAGTTGATGTATATAAAGGGTAGGCATGGTTGCCAAAGCCAGAGGTTTCTGAAATTCCCTGCCTTTTTCCTGGCCAATGTAAAATCTCCCTGACCAGCTGAATTAACAATTTCACAAATAAGTCCTGATAATGGACTCAACTCTTCCCTCACAGCATCCTCTTCACCCGTTCATTCATGCTTTCAGCAAGTCACGTGCAGTGTACACGAATTGATAGTTCGTTAATATTTACATGTGACATGCAAAAAGGATTGATTTTCTTGAAAACCCAAAATGAGCTTATCATTCAAATTCTCTGATGAACAATATTCTACCAATACAACAAGATTCATGTCCGTTAAATGTACAAAAAAATCAAACAGTAGAAAACAATAAAAGTAGAGGAAAAAGACTAAAATAAAAATATGCACTCTTAACATTTCGCTTTTCCCTGACTCCGTTCGAAGACTTTAATATTCCCTCACTAAAAAATTGAAATTCCCTGACAATTCCCTGACCTTGAACAATTTTTTTTGCCCTGACCATTTCCTGACCTGTGGCAATGTTCAATGGTCGGGAAATTTGTCATTTCGGTCGGTAAAAAGGTCCAAAAGAGTTAACACGTGCACTTTCTGGGTGTGAAAAAGTCGAGAGAACCTTCTGGTTTTGTGATTTATACATATTTAAAGGACAGTGCGTTCCACCGCGGTCAAAGAATAAGTTAATTTGACAATCTTTGCAATTTTTAACAAATAATGAGCTTCGCGTCAAGGAAAGTCTAGTAGTAACACACTTTTTCGGTTTTTATACACTTGGAACGTTTTAAGTAAACTTTCAAAGAGTTTAGTAAATTAAAAGCCTGTTGCATGGAAATACATTCCATTTTCAACAAATAAAGGAACAACCTGAGCATTGAAGTACTTTGCTGAGCTTTTGCAAATTTCTCTTATCTGACCGCGGTGAAGGTTGCATGAGGACGTCTCAAGCAAAGAAAACAGGAGACTACATAAAACAGTTTTGTGTTTTCTTCCTTCCTATCTATACTTAGACAAAGACATCCTTGAAAATTTTTCATGGGCTACTTTAAAAAAACTGCTAGCAAGATCATGCAAAAGTGGTTTCCCCAAGAGTTAGTTTGTTGTTGCTGTTGTTCTTTGATTGATGTTGTCGTTGTTGTAATTTTTTACTCGTTTGTTTCTTCTATCAGCCAATAATTTAAAAAAGTAAAAACATGGAGTCGTCGTTTATTTACCAAGGAAATGCACCAAAGTACTAATTGGGGACACTATTTTTACATCTCCTACTGGAGACTGAACAGTCATTTTACGTGGTCATCCGAGTCACGCGAAGGTCTCGCCGCTTGCGGTGCAAAGGGAGTACCTTCACTTCTCAGTTATTTTAACACCCTGAGTGTTGGTCCCGGTACCGGGAATCGAACCCGCGACCTCCCGCTCTGCAGTCACACGCTCTACCGACTGAGCAAACACTGCCGCGGTCAATGGTCATGAATATGCTTTACTGGAAACCACGAGTAAGGTCTGACCGGAAAGTAGGTGGTAAAAATACTCAGAATTCAATAATTACATTTTCTTCATCCACTCCACTTTCTTTCTTTTCCGTTTTCTCTCAAGGTCCTGTTTTCTAATAACCTGCACAAAAAAAAATTTACCTTAAAAATAAAATAGTTTGCAGTTTCCAGGAGAAGAGCTTTAACAAAATATAATATGGATGTTTGCGTCTGAGGCTTGTTCACACTGAATAGCAACGGCACAGAACTAGAACAAATCGTTCAAACAGATCGAAGCACATCAAAACACTGTGCCGGCGCGGTTGGCCAAGAGGGTCTGGTCAACTAACAGTCCTCACTCCTGAATATATACTTCCGTGTCAGTGGATTCCAGTCCTCGCTTCTACTTATTCACTTCCGCAACGGTCCGAATATCTGTTCACACTGTACCAAAACTTTCGTGATCGGCGCGGCGTAGTCTGCTACACAGCTGTTTTCAGTGTAATCACGCAACAGTAGAAACGGCTTAGTAGCCGACTAGGCGCGGTGCAGATTCGTTCCGCTACAGGAATCGCGCCGAATTGACTGTTCGTATGCGTGAACAGAAGCCGTAACTGGTATGATTTTCATGCCGGGTATCAGGGGCACCCAACGACTGTTTTCTGTAGAATATCTGTTCGGATAAGCAAATATTGCCTAGAAGTTTCTACTTTTTGGAGAAAGCTAAAAATTTTCTCGATGACCGTTCCTTTCACGTAGAATTTTCGAAGCTTATCTAAAAAATCCCCTACGATTTTCAGGAGTTTAATTTTTCACATTACACTCCCCAGATTTGGCTATTTTTCGTGAAAAAGGAAGCCTAAAAATTTTACATTAAGGAAGTTAAGGAATCAGAAAAAATCTCACTTTCGAATTACATTTAAAATTTTCGGGAAATATAAAATTGAAGCCCTTGTAATTTCGAAAAGCCTTAAGTTCCCCTAGGATGACCGAACAGATACAGATTTTGTAGCATTCTTTAGAATGCATTTCTAGAGATCTAAAAGTACTCTGAATAACCTTAAAAGCAATTTCGAAGTGTTTATGAGGAAACCGTCGTTGGGTACCCTGTGGAATAGTGTAAATATAGCCTAACATTTTTTTCCTGTCGGTTTGTGTAAACAGAAAGAACCCCATACAGTACCTTATTATAACTGAACTGTTCTTTTTTAAGAGCTGACTCATAAACAACAGGATCCTGATCAACTTGTTTCATTATTCGGTCAGACACCAGTCTCCAGCCATTATTCTCCCATCTTTGATACCAGCCAGTTCTGTTATCTACAAAACAAGAGACTTTTTAAATACTTGTCACAGTTTATTGATGGGATAGCACCACACACTAACTACATGTATCTTCTGTTCTGTTGAAGACTATGTGTAATGTGATGGCCGCTTCAATCATGAAAACGGCTGTGCTAAATGTAATATATATCAATAATTAGGTTTTGGAAAGTGCAAAATTCAAATAAGCACCGCCTTAAACCAGGCCATTTATTCGAGGATAATTCCCATTCTTTGAGCCCAAACGTTAACACCCTCCCTCAATTTCTTAACCAAAACCTCCTAAATATAACTTGTCATGATTCTTATTAGGTTCTTGCATTAGCTGGGTTTGTACTCTGCAGGCAGTGATTTCTACAGGCCGGACGCTTCGCTACAAAGCCCCCCCATCCCCCCTTAAGGAATTTAACTGAGGTCAGAAAGAGAAAAGGAAAGTCATTAGAAAGATTTAGAATCACGTTTAAGGCTAAACCTCTCTAATGTGAAATTAGGAAATTTCATGTTGCAGTTAAGCAGTGACACCACACAAAATGTACAAAAAATTGTGATGCACATGCAAAAACATTGTTTTGATTATTAATTCTTATTTTTGAGGTTCTCATTACCATTCCTGATATAATGACATCTATACATATGTCTTAGACTACGAGTGGTCTCTCTTTTTCTTGGTCCGTGGAGCAAAACGCGTCTCGCAGCTCAACACGGAGCCTGCACTTGTGCACTCCCCTCACTAAATCTGAAGAAAAAGAAAGACTACTCGCAGTCTACATATGTCTTTATGTACCCACCCTCTTCAGCATTAATTCCTTTGTTGTGTATAAATTCCACTGGAGGCCGTTTTGTTGTTGCTTGAGTGTAATCTCTTGGGGCATTAGCACACAAGTCTACAATGTTGCGATGAGTAAAAATCTTGTAGTAGATATTGGGAGGGAACTTTTCCTGGAAGAAAAAAAAAAAATTGCCAAAACCAAATTAAATAAAGACAATGTACTTGAAGCCACTGTAATAAGTCCAAAAATATAGAATTTGACAGCTGTCAATAATAAGATACTGTGACATTACAGTCAAACCCTTCTTAATACGGACACCTCATTATTATGGACAGTTTGTTTTATTCCTGGAGAAAAAAAGCCCTCATATTTTCTTGAAATACTAACCGCTTAAAACGGACGCCCTGTTAATATGGACACTTTCTATGGCCCCGTTCATGTCCCAGTCCATATTAGTGAGCTTACACATTAGGACGGCACAAAGAAGAAGACGGCAGAACACTTGTGTGTGACAAACGTGACAGGCCTATTACCTGCATGTTTTTTGTCATGTTCAATTGATATAACTGTGTTTTGATCTGTTACAAAAAGATCTTTTAAAAGGACGGTGAAGTTTGGCGGAAATTATTTTCAAACAGAACTATTGTCACGCTCATCACACAAGGTTTGCTGTCAAGTTGCAGGGTATATGCAAAAGGTAGGCAGGGAAACGAACAGCTAGGAGGATGAAAGTAGCTGGGTTCACGCTCATAGTAGCTGAGGAGAGGGGGGAAATCCCCAGTTCTGACCTTTAGTGACAGCCCTGAGTCTTGAGCCTCTTTTTTAGAACACCCAGGGGTTTTGTTTTTGGTTCTCTCCTTTCGTTGGAAATGTTTTTCTCCAGTTACCCCAGTTTTCCCCTCTCCACAAAAACCAAACATTTCTAATTTCCAATTTGACCAGGAATCAGGTAGATGAAGAACCACTAAGTGGATGTGCTACCTTTAAATCATTATTTTTTTTCTCATATATTGATTGATTGATTGATTGATCGATAAATCCATTGATTTATGTATAAATTTAGGGGTACTCACTCCTGCCAGCCTAAACTTTATATGGACTCCAGCAGCAGCATCTAAGAGTTCAGCCTATAGGGAAAAATAATGTGAAAAAAGAATTCATTTAATTAACAAGATCCCAAAAATAACATTTCTTAAAAATGTATATTTTGGGCATCTGGAGGGAACCGCAGGTCGAATGGGTTTTGACAATGAGGCCCCGTTGGGTTAAATTCCAACAAGCAACATGGCCTTGAAACAGACACATACGACCGGGTGAAATGGCGATATACAAACATAAAGATGGGTTCAATACTGACAAGGACATGGCATTCTCCTCAAAACGAGAAATTACTGTATATGTATTTGAAATTCAGACTCGGACATACTAGGTTACCCCTGCTAAGAGGGCCTCAGCAATGGGTTTTAAACATTTTGGCAGAAGATTATATTAAGGAGGAGCTTCAAGTAGGTAATCAGTGGTTTCTTCTTGGAAATTTATGTCAGTTAAATAATAATTAGATTTAGCAAAACTTCACAAATGGACTGTAGTGTTTTTATATTCATGACAAAACTACAACCCCCTCCCGCAAGCAACCATAACTCAATAGGACACACTGAGCTGTTTACCAATGATTTTATTAAAGACACTGGGGATTAAGTGGTCAGGCAGATGATCAGAATTTTAAACTGAACAAAGCGCAAGAGATAATTTTAAAATATACCACATTTCAAAATCAAAATACCTCTCTTGGATTGATACATTTAAGCATTGAAGAAGGGTCTCCACGGCTTTTAAAGTTGATTAAGTCTCTGTAGTACCTGTATACCTGAACATCCTAGAAAGCAAAATAATACAGAGACAGTTTTTTTCATCCTAGGCCGTAAGCTACAGTGGAACCTCAACAGAACAAAGGGCCAAGGGACTGACAAAATATGTTTGCTATAACGAAGTTTTATTTTATTGAGGTAAATCTTTTTCATATATTTTACTATGGGGCTAGGATCAATATCGTTCGTTATACTGAGGACTTTGTTTTGTAGAGGTTCATTAAATCAAGGTTCCTCTATACCTTAAACCCCTTTCACTCCTAGTCGATGTTAATATGGCAAGATTTATTTTCACTCTCACTTTTAGATAAATTATTATAAATTTTTTAAGCCTAGAGTTGTATGTTCCCAGATTCTCTAAAACAACTAACTTTAACATGAGAAAAAGGAACCTAGATTAAAAGTTAATCCAGGGTTAGCAATAATTGCCATTTTAAATTTGTCTGAGCAGACAGACCCTGGAGGATTGAGGCAGAAAGCAATTTTCAAGGTACAACAGAAAGATACTAATGAGTCCACACTAAAAATTAGTCCAAATAAATTTTTATAGTCTTACAATATGTTGTCTCCAAGATCTCTGAATAATCTTTGCTGCTTCTTCTCTGTTAATGATTTGTCTTTTTTCAGACCCCTCAGTTCCAGCTGTGTCCACACGCTCACTCATAGCTCCTGTTACTGAGACTCCCCCATCTGTAGTTGGTGGAGGAGGTCTGGGCATGTCTGGCTTTAATAATACTGAACGCCACCATTCTTGTATAAGTAGAGCACAGAATTCTGTGTACGTCATCAGCTTACATGATGGTCCTTGTTCTGCAACCACACGCTGACAGTACTCTTTATACCTCTTCTTTGTTCTAGGCAAGGCATTAGCAGGCACTGAACGTCCCTGTAGTGTTTTGAGAACAATACCATAAGCCATGGTTAAATACATTTCAAATTATTATATCCTTAGTACTAAACACAAACGTAAGCAATATCATGACTGTTTATTCTGTTTGCATTGTGTGCAGCATGTAAATGTTATTCTGTTTCTGAATTTTTGCATGTGACTTTTGTTTCAACAACAAACATTGTCCTATTATCATTTAAATCCTTGGGTGTTAATTTTATTTGCTGTTGTTGTTTGACTGTTTATCTTTTCTTTTCATACATCAAGAACAAACAAAACCTCATAGAAAACAGAGGATGAAAACATCTTTTATTTTATTTTGTTAGATTCGCCAATTATTGGCAGGGTAACCGCAACAGCATGACGCCAATTACTGCGGGCCTGTAACAGTCCCTTCCCCCATGAGAGATAGACCACCACACCGGGGACTACGTCCCCTACTCTTTATGAACAGTGTGTGGGTTCTTTAACGTCCCACAGAATTTATATATACAAGGGTTGTGAGACAGGGCCTACAGTTTATCGTCCTTATCCGAGAAGACTAGAAAGTTTAACCATTTGCAGATGTCTTTACAAAGGGAGCACTTTCTCCTCAGTCATTTAAAGACCCTGAGTGTTGGTCCAGCTAGGGCTTGAACCAGCGGCCTCCTGCTTGGCAGACTGGCGCTTATCAAACTGAACTAACCAGGCGGTGGTTAAATACGTAAATAAATGGCTCAGTGAAAAACAATCTCAGTGGGCTGTGGAGGAATAGAAGTTGATGAAAGGAAAATGATGGCTATCAGAAAAAGGAGTGGTGAGGGAAAAATGAACAAAAATCAACAACAGCTACCACAAGCCTTACCTTTGATGAGGGCTGTGGAGTAGAGTGGGGAACTATTGGTGTAATCGTCCTTACATCACTAAGCCGTGATGGAGTTTGAATGAATCTACTGCCAAGAGCTGTAGACATGACGCTTGCATTTGGATGAAGAATTCCAAACAACTTACATCTGTAATGATAAAGATTATTGTTATGATGAATATTGTTACTATGATGATAAATTAAACATGAGATCAGTCAATGTCCACAAGGAGCTGATTAATCTTAATAACTTTAACAAGCATTCCTGTTTTAGAACATAAAAAAGTAAAACATTACCGGTCACATCTTAATGCTACATGTTTAGCTCTTAAGTAAGTATATTTACCGTGTGAAGTACCCTCTCCAAACACGTTGAATTTCAGTTACTGCAGCAATTCTTGCTTCCTGCTCATCTCTCCTTGAGGCAATTAACTCCTGTAGGACCATAAAAAGAGAAAGCCAAACTTTGGAGGAGAAAATTCCTTGATTTTTCATAACAACACGATAACAACTTTCAAGACCCTCTTTTTGCAAATGCAAATAATTTTTCTTCCTGGATGGCAAATTACTAGATCCTGAGGGCAGGGACATTAAAACAGCCTAATACCCCATGGCGGGGACAAAAATAGAAAGGCAAATGCCCCACCCAGAAGCTTCCGCAATCACTGTACTACTAACAGCAGTTGTCATTCACTGCAGAGTAGAGAAGTACCACTTTCAGCATTCTTAAAGTGCAATTTTTCATTTCTGTAGGTCTGTCGCTCCTTTCTTAAACTGTTTGTTATAGCACTAACCATGTCAATAAAGACATCAACAACAACATAAATGCTGTTCGTGATTCTCTCTTCATTACAATTGTTGTTTATCTTGTTTAAAATAACTGATTAGTAAAACTAATTGTAATTAAAGGGTCAACTGTTAAGTCAGCCATTCTGAATATTTGTGGCAAACATATTTTGTTCAAATCCTTGATCAACCCTAGACTGATTTAAAAACAAAAAAACTTCAGTAGTTTCTTTGTGTTGTGGATGAGTGCGATCACCAAATGATATATCTCAAGACACTGCATAATATATACCCACACCACAAAGCAAAAGTTGTTTTATAACACCCAGAAACACTCTATAAATTGACTCGTACAGTGATGGCTTGTGATGTTGCTGTAACAACTCTAGCTTTAATAAGCGATAAAGAAATGCAGAAAATCCAGAAAAAATACCAATAAACAATAGCATTTTTCTAGTCTTTGACAAATGCACCAACCTGCGAGTCTTTTCCTATAAATTCCTCCATTTTTAGCTATGTTTGGATTTCAAGTTGGGAATCATGTGCATGTGAAAACCTGGGAATGGCCCCGGGGTTGGCAAATCCCCAATCCCTGGGGTTCCGAAAAAATTGCTACTGCACCATCTAAGGACTTACAAGGCAGGCAAATGCCCCACAGTTGCCCAGGGGAATGGGTGCTTCTGAAATTCACCGATGCATTACCACCTAGTTCTTTTTCATCTATTCATATGTATAATATCCCCATACTAATAAGAAAAGCCAAATAATATGAAATATATCAACTAAAGGAAAATGGAAAAACTTACTGGGAACATATGGGTAAGGGTGAATTTAGAAAATTGGCATACCCCTAGGAAAACCATATGTCCCTGCATATAACAACAGACAGACAGTGACTGTCTTAATTATGGATGAGTCACAGCTACATATAACTTTTTAAGCTGTCCATGCAAGTAGATGGAAGGAAAGACTATTCAAAGTTACAAACATGACTTAGCAAACAATTTTCTTAACTACCAGCACCCTCTTCCCAATTTCCTCGTTATTGTCCATTGATATCTTGTCCAGTTTTAGGTTTCAATCAAGATAAGTATAACTTGTAATTTTACATTTTATTTTAAGTTAAAAAACTTTTATTTCAATTCCATGCAAAACTTACCTGTCTGTCGGCTTTTGTGGCGAGAGCAAGTTTTAAATTCGTTGCTGTAGATCCTGCAATGAGTTAGTAGGAATACCAAGTGTGAAAGAAAGTTACTTCGCCAGTAAATTTGGTTCTCGACGCTTTGTCTGTAACAAATCTGACAATGCAGAAGCCCTGTATATATGTAAGCTTCTTTTTCTCCAATTCCATTTCCGAAAAATCGGGTCGAAATGTTGTGCTTTTTAGACACTCCGGCTTTAAACTCAAATTCATTTTAAAATATTTAAAAGAAACAAAGTCTCCTTATTAATAAATAAACTTGATAGCAGCAACTAACAACAATGCAAGAAGTCACTTCACAAACAATGTAATCGCTGAAAGTTACCTGGCAAGTCAACACTGCCTAGAATCTTGCGCGCCTCTTCGCGACTCAGTTTTGTAAACATGGCGAAAATTGATATTAAATAGTACTATCTAGCCATAAAAAGGCATGTTTTTTCATTATCTGTAGCCAAAAACCCAGCACCAAAATGCTACAAATTGAGCAAATTGGCGGATTGTCACGAAGATTTCGTAGCAACAAAGCATCCGCTGGTCATGTACTGCGGGCAGGTAGCAAACATGGTCGAGTTTTGTAAACTGTGCTGTCACAGGTCACCCAACCTCGAAATATGAGCATCGGCGAGCATCGAACAATAGACCTTGGCACGGTTTTGGACGCCATCTTGACGTTTAGGCAAACGTGTAAGAAATTACAGTGTTTGTATGAGAATCTAATGCCGAATAATTTCCTTAAAACGGCTGTTCTGAGAAAAATATCAATTGCAAACTAAAGCTACAAAGCAAAGGATTGTCTTAAAAAAATTTAGGGGCCTACCTGTACTTAACTTTCTCCAGAGGCTTCCTTTAGATTTTCCATATATTTGTCAGCAATTTTCCCGGGACTTTCTCACAGACAAATGTATAGAAAATTTTGAAAAGTGGTTCTAGGTCTTCTAGTGCATGTACCCTCAAATTTTTTCAGGAGAATCCTTAGGAGTGAAGCTTTAGTTTACAAATCATATTTTTTTCAGAACAGCCGTTCTACAGAAATTATTCGACGTCAGATTCTCATACAATCACTGCCTACTCGTCAAGATGGCGTCGAAAACCGTGACAAGGTCTATAGGCCCTTTCTAGCCTGAATTTTATCCGATTGCTTCGAGTCGTTTTCTCCTCTCAGCAACTGAGATGAAATTCAGGCTAGGCCCTTGGCAGCTTGCCATTCTCGTGGTACAAAACCGCCATGCGGGGACGCAAACATCGCACTGGGACAAGACAAACAAAGGAAATTACCATTTAAAATTATGTGTGCCTTTTGTTGGTCTTGCCCCAGTGCGACTTTTGCAGCTTGTCTTGAGGAGTTACCCCGAAGTGTTCCCAAACTGATGCAAGGTTCTCTGGGGTGCCAGGTGCCTAGCACGTTTCATGGCCTCGACTTCTCTGATTTTTGTTGGTCAGTTTGTCGATGTGGCAATTCCAACTGAGTTTTTCACGAACGATTTAGTTCGCTCCCCACCATCTGAACACCGCCCTCTCTATCTGAACGCCTGGAACAGACTGAGCTTGTAGTCAATTGTTGCACCAAAAGATTTTGTAGTTTCAACCTGTTTCACCCAAGTACCGTTCGTTGTATTAAGCCTTTGGCCAGATCCTCAAATTCAAAAGGTGCTCGTTAAGACCCAACGGCACACCCTACTCTCGACCGCCCATGGCGCCTTCGTTCCAGAACCAATTGGGCAAGACAACGCTTCTAATAAAGGCAACCCTACCGCTATATTCAAGAGGGCAAGATTACCACTGTGAAAAGGAGGGCACAAGAAATTCAAACGAAAAACGTGCGAGAAAGACAACAGCGATCCCTAAGGCACGATAGGTTTGGTATCCCTTAAACATATGCGACTATGTACGTCTTGTAACTATTGCTGTTACGATCTAACAAAGGATACTCTGCAAGGATTAGGGGAAATTAAACGAAAACATAAGTAACTCACCGGCAGAGTTTTCTTATTTTATTAAAATTTCTCCTTTCTATTTTGACACTCTTTCAAAGATAATAAATAAAAATGAATTTATAGTTAGTAATAGATAAAACATTACACACTGCGTAACCAAGGACCTTTCGCAGTACTTTCAAGGACAATGTTTCTATTTACAAGCTCTAATAGGAAAACCAACTGCAAGTTAAAAGTTAAGATACACCTCTGTATCGTAACCAGTGTATTTGCATTGGACAGGAGTATAACCATCGTTTGTCAAATTTTTACATTCTCTAAAAGGGATGTTCTGAGCAGAAGGCCGTTTTTCAATGGTCCCAATAACTTTTTGAACCCCAAAGCATTATCATGGGTGCGATATTTGCACGAAAACTTGATGTTAATATTCAGTATATTCAACTGGTTTGTGGGTTTAAGCCTATACCACAATTTACAGCATTCTTAATCTGATTTCATCCCTCAAAAGTTATCGGGGTGTCCACGAAAAAATTCCCATGCCAAAAGGATAACTACAATATCCCCTTAATGGAAACCATGTTCCTTGAATGGGAAAAATCTCCACACTTATAATAAACCAAAACCATACACCACGCAATTGAAAGCAACAGCGTGTACAAAAAAAGACTACATTACAAAGTCAAACCGAAGATAAGCACACCGAGACAGCAAGGTGCAGCTCAAGATTTGACAAAGGACAATTACGCTTCCAACCTGTTACTGTTATTTTCAAGTGTTAAAGACTCGAGATGCCAAACAAACTCTACCTCTGCAGAATGGACAATTGAATTATGCGGAAATACAGTGTGAGTTGCTTTAGGGTGCGTATAAATTAAGCGGCTAACCTTTGGTCAGCTGGGGGAAGCAACCAGTACATCAGGCTTCAATCATTAATGAGCATGACTAGTTTTTAGCGTATTCCTATTAGCTGTTGGTTTGATATAATATATAGTGGCGTTCATTTTTTGAATTTCCTACAACGACGTCAAAAGGTTGTCTACTCTAAAAATGCCTTAAGGACAATTTCTACTCTTGGACAGAGAATCTGCTTATTAGTGAAGTGACTGCAGATGATAGTAGAACATGAAAGATGGAAGCAATAGCCTTAAGTAGTCTACTAGTCTTCTTTTTTGACACTTGCTCTCATTTCAACCCTCTCGAATCTGTGTCAGTGCGGCAGTATTGGACATGACTGGAGGGAACTCGCAGTTGTGATAGCAGGTCTGGTGAACGGACTTTTTTCTGCAAGATAACGTGTGTGTAGAACACGGTATCCTTTCAGAGGATTTTTCCTTAAGATTTGTTTACACGTATGCTAGCTGGGTGCATCTAAAGGTACAAGGTCTGTGTGATGAGACTTCACGCGCTGCAGCAGATGTTGACCGACAGGCACAAACTGGCTCTCCCACATGTCTCGTAGCATATCCGGAATAGTTGATTCTGCAGCTTCTAATTCACTGGAATCATGAACTATGTCCTCATCTGAAATAAAAACAATATTCAAAACAATGCAGAATCCTAGCACGACCATTAAAGGTTTTCATGATGCGTCCGTTCCTAGTATTAACTGTGAGTTGCACAATCGATAGCGAAGGAGCACGATCCTCCTCTATAACTACCCACTAAAATCAATCAATCATATTTTCTCAAACAATCTAAGGGACAGGTGCTGATGAAACATTAGGGACCTTAAGATCCGAGGAAGGCGACAGCAGAGAAAAAGTCTCATAAAAATTGAATTCGCGTTCTTCATCGCGATCATTACAACTCACTTTGACAAATTTAGGGCATTTCATCTGGAGCTGAATACGTAAGAATCATATAAAACTTCAGAAAGAGAAAGACAATTTCGTCGTGGCTTGTTTACGTCCTCTCTAAAACGTGAAGTTAAGCATTTTTACGTTGTAGGCGTGCAGTGACGACAAAGAAATGAACAAAAAAAGCGTTGCCGTCGTCGGATCTTATAGGTCCCCATTAGCTTGTATGGTGAAGGCACGGTTTCAGCCAGGAATATAATCAGAGGGCATTGAAAAGCGATTCCGGGGAAAGCTTGTTCTCCAGGTGGGTATTGGGGGCACCCTCCAGCAAATTTTGACAACTTGAAGACCCATTACTAAAGATTTCCAGATTCGGTAAAACATAACTCTCAAGTCAGTTGTATTAAAACGAAAATGAATAAAGGAAAAAAATTCTATGCAAAAAAGGAAACAACTAAAATTTTGGTGTCAGCAAACATCTTACCAAATAAAGTGTATACGAATGTCAAGGGGCATGGCTTTTGCTTATTAGTCGTTGTTATTGTTGTTATCGTTTTTTATTAGTTGTTGGTAACAACCAAAGCCTGAAGGTTGTTGAGAGGACAAACAGTATTGAGATTCAAGGGCTTAATGGTCAGTATTATATCAATTACTTCAACAAAACGTCGCCTGACATACCAAGATACTGTGTAAGAATATCCATCAGCTCTACTGCCTCTTGTTCACCGAACGTTTCTGAAGAGCTGGTTATCTTGTCACTAAACGAAATAAGAAAAACCTCATTAAAAAGTAGTGAAAATAATTAGTACATCAAATTTAACAGTGAAAGCCAATTTTTGGTATATCGTATTTGATTCAGAGCAGATGCTCACATTGATGCAACATCCCTGCAAACTCCAATGGCTATACTGTAAGTTTAATGTTACCTAATCATCTACAACGTGTAATAACCAGAGCGATGGCTGAAATTTTGACATTTTCTAAGAGAATTATATCTCTACAGCGATGAATGTTTCACACATGGTAGGCCTTAAATGACCTCACCTATAGTTCCACAGGATCTGACAAACCATGCTTGACAACTGCCAGTCATGCTTGCCAAAATCACGCAACACATCCACCAGTCTGAAAGGACAAAAAGATTACCTTATGAACGGCAAATCACTTAGTTGCGGTACTGATACACTGCTACTGATAGCACAGCAGTGACTACAGTGATGCTCCTGAAGTAGTTTAGAGAATCATACTTACTTTTTTATTCCATCTTCTTGTTTTAACTTGGGTTTTATTTCTTCATCGATCATGAGGTTGATGAGTACACCACATGCAGTAAACACAGTTTCTCTTTCACCAGCATCCAGCAAAGCTATCATGATCTCATCAACTACACCAACAGCAAAACACACGCACAAATCAACACACATTGTAAAACGTCTTGATCTGTTGGGTACGCCCTCAAATACCTACCGTTATGTGGGGTATGCCTAGAGTGATCAATTCAGGTTTCTGGGAAGCTGTCCACCTACCTCTCCCCTAAGCTAAGATTTTCTCTGAGTGAGAGGTGTTAATGTTGGCTCAGGGGAGGGGTAGGTGGGCAGTTTCCCAGTAACCTAAATTGATCTGCATAGTGTATATTCTGCCCAATAAAGACGTGTTTTTGGGATTCATGGTCCTACAATAGGGTAACAATATTTGCGATGTTTCTCTTGATGGAGAAAGAAGGTAAAGCAACCATATTTTATATCAATAACTTGCCACAGTAATTCAACTGATAGACATGAGGTCAATGGTGCACTCATTTTACCCCTTCTCTCCATCAACGGTCCGTTTTAAGGGTATTTAAAATTAGTTAAAACTTCAGAGAAAGGAGAGAAGTTGAAACAAGGATGTGCAGGTCACTGGGGATCGAACTTGGGACTTCGTGCACCAAAGGCTGCACACTAACCAATTGTACCACCCTTGCCCCGCAAACACATATGTCATGAATCATTTTATAATTTATTAAACAATGCTTCATGTAATCATGTATTTAGAAATAATATTTTGAGTTCGATTATAGAGTGCAGACCATTAATAGTTAACCTTTATGTTCTGCAAGCAAAGTTCTGACTTCCTTGGATCGCGAGAAATTACCAAATACACGACTGGCTTCCACCATGGCATCCATATTCTCTGGCATCAGCAAGGAAATAAGCACTAAAACAAGATGGCAAAGGAAATAAAACATTTCTGAAGAAAACTGGTCTCACATTCCACACTGAAGAGATGGAAAAAATAGCTAACAGGTTGTTATGCTATATTGCAAACGTTTTCTAAAAAAGAATATGGCACACCACAGTGCTTCTGATTAGTTGAAAAAATTGCTTCAACCAATCGGAATCAGGGCAGTGACAAGTCATTAGTACGGAATTTCTGTGCTTGCTCCTCAGACGTCATATTGCGGGGAAAGCCAGTGGTGCCGTTGCAAAATGTTGGCCATTTCCTCAGGCTAATCACTCAGTAAACAATCAAGAATAGAGACAATTATTCTTTAAAACAAAGATAGTAATAGTAGGCTTACTTTCAGTAATTTGTACTTGTCTCTGTTGCACAATACTTTCGGCATCATTGTAAAATGACAGGTTGTTGAGAGTTGATACTGTATTAAGAACAAGCTCCTCACTGTGGGATGCTTCCTTCACCTCTGAAATATTAAAAAAAAAAATGATATACCAAACAGGTTCTTGTCAAGATCACATCACTGTGAAAACATGCATCATAAAAATCCTCATGAACTTCAGTATTTGGGGATTGTTGTCATCGAGGCTGAAGGAAGTGACTCTGAGTTATCCAAAAAGTGTTTATGTTGGCTTATACCTGGAGAACCTTTCACTTTCTCTCATTCTCTCTCAAAGTTAATTCCTTATTACTCTACAAGCCCCTTCTTAACACACTATCTTCTCCTAACACTTTATTCAGAAAGCCAAATGGAGAAACATTGTTCACCCACCCACTGACCCAGTGACAAAATTGAATTAACTTTCAAAACTATGATTGACAGTTACACAACTACATCATAAACAGTTGACTAGTTTAATAAAACAAAAATCAAAGTTAATGTTTAATGCCATTCTACGTACCAAGTATATGAATTAAAAGATCAACTAAGTGTTCACTGGCAGCCAAACCAGCTCCTGCCTCTGGACTAATGGACAGGTTTGCAATAACTCTGACAGCCTGAAAGTAACACATATACCAAACATATCATAAGTAGGTTGGGTATGATCGTCTGGGTGAACGTAATCCTGAACGTAGGACTGTTGTTGACAGTGACTGACATTTCAACAACCTGTGAGGTAGTCAAAGTGAGTTGTATCACGTCAGTTGATGGTATTGAACACTGGTTATTGCCCTGAATGGTCAATTAAGTCGCAAAGTTATTGGGCGCCCGTCAGTTAAGCCGTGATGTTATAGGCTATGAAGCTTCATAATGTCATTGGTGCACTTCGATCCACCTATTGTCACTGTAACCAGTCGTTTATTTTCAGTCAAATTGTCAGTTGTCCAGTCGTTCTCTCATAGTTAATTTTGATTCAATCAATAAGTTGTTTGTACAGTAAAAGGCTGTCAATAAGGGCCGGTGGCCGGCCAAAACTGCCGGCCAGTTAGCGCTCTTTAGCGGGCTACTTTCATCTCCTTATCTACCATAAATGCTAACAAAAAACAAGCACCATCGAAAAAAAATTGTACAGCATCCATTTCCCAGTTTTGAATGAGATTGAACGTATATTCTAACAGGTTTAGATCTGTAAAACGTTCGAAGCATGCAATGTCTTGGAATGCCTCGGACATTTCGATGGCATTCTTCTCAGTCTTTTGTGTATTCTGACGAAACACGATGGTGTTCGCGGTTAAAAATACCTCTTGAAAACCTCTGGAAACGCCATTTCCGAGACTCTAATTTCCTAATGTCCCTAGATGCCTCGGCCCTCAAGAACTTGTGCCTTTGTTGTGAGTTCCAAAACCGCCTACTATTCATTTTCAGCCTGCTACTTAAAAACTTTTTGACAGCCCTGCAGTGCCAGTAACTGTTGACTACGATTCAGTGGGGTTTGTTCTAAGGTAGTACACCAGCTTTCTTTTCTGGGTTCAAACCTTTCACAGTTTTACCAAACGTAGTTTACAATGATTATTCTCATTCAATTCCTTCGTTTTGAACAAAAAACATATTGTAGAAAGAAAAGGTAGAACAAAATTTAGAAGAATTTATGTTAATTGAAAGAAAATGAGAGGAAAGAAAATACTAAGTAATAAACACCTTGATGAGAACATCTTCATTTCTGCTGGGACCTTTGTTTTCTCCATTTAGTTGTTTTTGCTCAGATGATGGTCCATTTTTTAACTCCTTTGGTAGTTTAAAAACAAATAAATTAATTAATTAAAAAATAAATACATACAACGAGCCAATATTGACCATAAACACTTCCCAATGTAGTTGTCTCTGGGAATTCAGTTAACATACATACATGCATACATACATACAAAGGGGCTTTTCAGGAACAATGATTATATTACATTATTTATTATAATAACTAATTACAACACTTAATCTAACTTACATGCTGACTTTAGAATAATACATGTTACAGGTCAAATTTGATTATTTCAGGTTAATTTACTACCTTAATAGGTTGATTCTCAATTTCCTTTGTCTCCAAGCCATAGAAGACAAAGGAAATATGACCTGTCACATAAGTGAAGGATGTTTAGCTGGCTGTAACACGGACAAATCTACTTAACATTAAATATAAGAGTCAGTCAGAATCAGGGCACAAGACTTCCCAACTTCTTCAGTTCCTCCCTCAAAAAATGTAGTTGTCATTTCTCAAAAGACTCCAGTTCACTTGCTGAACTGCACAATAACCAGCTTATCTACCTCCTTCATACATGCCAGTTTAATAGAACCTTGGAATAAACTTGTTACATGTATGTTTCATTAGAAATACTTGTTTCTAATGGTTGCATTGATTATCCCAAAAAGCTCCTTACAGGAGAGGACAATAACATAATCTTTAAAACAAATATGTATGTCGAATGAATTAAGATGCCTTACCTCCATTTCGAAGTTGAAGTATGTCTGCATCACAGATAGTATCACTTCTAAGAAGGAATCATCAAAGAAAATTGCATCTCTGACATCCTCACTCTTGGATGCCAAGTTCCCCAAAATAAAACAGACTCGGACCACTAACTCCTGCATAATAATAATAATAAAAAACAATTATTATGGAGCACTGCATCAGATTAGCTATACATCTGACCCCAGTCGTTCAAACCTTGGTTAGCCTTATCCAGGGGACAAATCACTATCCAATTAGATAAGTATTACAAGCATTATCCAGAGGATCACGCATTTAGGGTACTTATCCACCTTTAGAACAACTCAAGCCTGTAGATTTCCAAATAACGCTCTCAGTGACAAAAGCATTTCATCGAAAGCAGTAAGATCAGACAACAGTGATTAGCTATGCAGTTACCAAAATAATACGATGGAATGGTCAAACATTTTGCAAGCCACTACCAATGCTTCCACTTACTTGCTTCTTTTCGTAATCTGATAAGATCTTCCGCAGAGCTTGAAGCCAAGTGCAGGACTCTGACAGTTCAATGCAGCATTCAGTGTACAGCGTTAACTTACTGAAATAAAAATTAAAAGAACAAGTCATGCAACAATGTAGTTCACTCACTACAGCAAAAATGATAAGACTTTCAAAAGCATTAATTCCCAACAGAAACATGCAGGGAGCTCCCACTTCCCTGTATTTCACCTTTGAAGGGATGAAGCAGGTACTGCCTAAAACCACACAAAGACACATCATTCATTTTGTACCTTAAAGCTCTGCACACATTCCACACCACATCACTATCGGATGAATAAGGTCCAAGGACAATGGACAAGTTTCTTACAACACCAGTGTTGATGAACGTCTCCACAGCACCTGTAACATCAGCAAGATTCCTTAGAGCCCCAGTTACCTGCAGGGGAAGAAATAACTTGACTTTTATGCCACAATAACTTCACTTTGATATAAGTTCAATGAGTAGCCAGCCAAAATCACTGGCTAGTACAGTAAGCCACCCCAGCCATCTAATCACCTAGCTCACTTCATATTTTCATCTCTACAGGTATACTACACATATGATGAAATCACAAGGTGAGCACCTCCCTGTTGACCTAATACCTCAGTCAGAGCACTGCACCTGTATTGCAGGGTCATGAGTTCAAATCCCATTGCATCCAAGCTGGATTTTTTAAACCCTTTTTTTGTCAACTGCATACATAATTGTGAAGATCTTTAAATCAGTCCCATTTCATATCAAATCTCCAGGCTGTAATTAAGTTTTGAATCAGCTGTAGGAAATAAAGACTTAACCATAACATCACACAAAAAAGTGTATAGTTTTATCTTTAGCATGCCACTTTGATCACCTGTAACAGCAAGACAGTGAGATCAGCCATAACATAACTCTTGTTGCAGTGAGTGTGATGTTTAAGTTAAGAGCAGCAATATTGATTTAATACAAAAAAGAAATAACTTATGGCAAACATAATATCCGGTTAGAGAGTAGGCATGAATAGAAGTAATTAATAAAAATTTTGTCTCACCTGAACAAGCAAACTGGTGAACTGTGAATTTCCCTTCATAGTCATCAACACCTGAAACATTTATTTAGAACAACAAGTTAGTAGGCAATGAAGAACAAGTTTCACATTAATAATGATTAAGCTGTTAGTTAAGTCATGTACACACTCTTACATCTTTACTGATGGCATCAAGAATGTCTGCCAAACCCTCTATTGCCTCAAGAGAAACCAGTTCCTTCTGAGTTGTGGGATTGTTGCTAGAGAGATGTTTCATGGCTCCTGCTGTGTATACAAGTGCATCATGATGGCTGCCTATCTCACAGCTCTTTATAGTGTCTACCAAACATTCTAAAGAAGGGCAACACAAAGAAGAAATTACAACAAAAAAGTTCAAATGCAAAAGCCAAAAATTAAGTCAACTATCAGTGGTAAATAACAATGCTGTACAAGTGCTGGGAATTGGCTGAGATTTCATAAGCGACAATCAGAGATAATTAAAATTGACCCAACCATTTAATCATTGACGATAATCAGAAAATCTCTTTACACAAAATCTATTATTTTTCACCTGTGTGCAAGGGAACATAGTATAAACTTGGACCTTTTTTTACTGTCAACCACTTTGATTTTCAGGGCTGTCAGTAAGTGCAGGGGGCCGGAGAATTTACCCCAGCTATTATGAACATGGTCCCCTGGCTACTTTCATAGGAAAATGGAATAGAAATAAAACCAAAAGAACTCCCTAGAAGTTTTAATCCTTGCCTATAATGTAGCTACTTGTTGTATTTGCCCGGCAACTTGAAATCATATTGAGAGTCCTGTTATATTGATAAAAATCATTTTGTGCCAGGTTTTAGAACCTTGTGAAAATATGTAAAATGTATCAAAGAAGTGTTATCTTTAGACTGTACCTGCACTTTGAGTCCAAAAGACAACAACAAAAATTTAAAATTTAACACTTACGTTTTATTTTTCTTTGATAATAAATGGCACATTTTCCAGGGTTGTCCTTAAGATTTTGAGTTGCTGGGTAAATACAACAAGTAGGCGGCGAATCAATCACCTAGGGGTTTCTTTTGGTTCTAATTTTCCTTTATTTTCCATTAAAAATAGGCGGGGGCCACACTCATAGTAGCCGGGGGAAATCCCCAGTCCCCGGCTCTTAATGACAGCCCTGTTTTCCATAATTTAGATAACTGTGTCACTTGTACTAGGGTTATAACTCAATGATCAAAATTGGGGACCTGCATTAACTGTTCATCTATCAGAGGAGTCCACCTTACTCACTTAAAATATCCTCTTCAAGAAACAGCTGATCATTCTTCTCTGTTTTTGCTACTCTGTACACAACCATACATATGTTTGTCAAGTTGTTTCCAGTGACTTTCATCTGTAATATACATGACATACAAACAACTTTGATTAAAATATCATGAAAACTGACTGTTATTTACATCTACATTGTATTCCATGCTTTGTATCAGAAAAAAATGATAATTTGGTAACACACGTTGTACCGGTATGTTCTGACCTGTCAAATAATAATTGAAATTGGAAACTTAGGTTGCACTCGATTGATCATGTTCTGGAATAAGAACACGCAAAAGTTTTGTTACAAATCTCCTGTACTATGACTTTTGGACCACCTAAATGCTACAAACATTGGAATAAATTATTTCAAGCAGACTTCAAGATACTGCAATGCAATGAATGCCAAAACAAACGATTTCCAGAGTATAAGAATGTGGTCAATTGAACACCCCCAAAGTTTAGAGACTGACTGTTTGAAACAAACACAGGTTTGCAGGGAAAAGCTCTGGCAATGTTGGTTCAATTCATTCAACATCCAGAGCTTTTGGTATCACATACAATAGTTGTTTTTCTTAGTGCACAACCTTAGATTGCTATCCTCAGGAAACCTAATGGCTAGATTTCTGTAAATTAATATTTATCAAACAAATATTCAATTAACAAATAATAAAAGATGATTGAAATATATTAGTTACCATTAATTTAATAATTATTTTGTCCCTTTACCTTAAGCAACTCTCCTACTATATATTTTTGGCAGCTTTTCTACAGTTTCCCCCGAAAGGAAGGGTCCCAAAACCACTAAATAATACAATCATTGTGTACGAAAATTTCATTTTTCATAAAGATTCCCCTGATAGTTACATCACTTTTTTCTCATGCAGTACTTACCGAAAGAATTAACTTGCCAAGTCTTAACAATAACCTTGGATCACTGAGATCCAAAAACTTGAAGACTGTCCGTAAAATCTCCCCTCTTCTCCGTGCTGAGAAACTTCCACTGGCCTTTCCAATGAGGCCTCTTTTTTCAAGTGCATTCCAAAGTTTCAAACAATCTTGACAAAGGTCCTTAACATTTCTCTCTGCAAATCTCTGTTCCATTTGTGATAATAGAGGCTTGACATTTTCCTCATAATACATAACTAGTTCATCCTTTGGTTTATCATCCTCCTGCTGAGTTCCTTTAGACTTTTTCCGTTTGTCCCCACTTCCACTTCTCTCAGATCCTTTCTTTCCCCTCCCTGTGGCTGACGATGTCTGCTCCACTGACACATCATTTGAAGTTACAAAAGGATCCCCACGCTCCAGAGGACCACTCTTAACACGTGTGACAGAATCGACAACTGGTGGGCTACGTTCCTTTGGCCCACTCCTGACTCTCCTTGCTCCAACAACATCCCTGGGAATGGCAGGGGGTACAGGAAAAGTATCTGTAGAATGGCGACGAAAAGGATCGCCAACAGGTGAGGTTCTTGAAGGAGATCCTCTTTTGGGTGGAGAGGGACAAAGTTCGATTTGAGAGTCTTTTTCCTGCTGACTAATGACAGCATTACGTAGTTTCTGATTGAGTTTCTCAGCATTTAACTCCTCAGATGGACATGATAGAGATGTCCTCAAAGGTCTCCTGTTTTTTCCTGAGGGCTGTAAGGAACAACAGCATTACTTAACGAACAGTACAGTACTTATAATAGGCTTACTTCTACTGCATGATTTCCACAGACATTATTTTTCACATTTATCATAATAGTAATGATAATAGCATATTCACCCAAGACATGTATATTATATGCACTCTAGAATTAGATTACCCTTTACTTTAGACAAAAGTATTTAACACAAAAGAAAGGAAAAATTGCCACACAAAACTTTTTCTAATCATCCTGTTCTTTACTCTTAGTATTTTCTGAGTTCTGCATGTAATACATACATTGCAATAATATAACATAATTATAGTCACACCACAGAGAACAACCCTGAACCATTTTTATGGAACTACAGACTCAAGCACTTTTTTAAGATTTTTTTGGTGAATTTAACCTGAAATTGGCCACTAAAAAGGTCAAAGGGTCAATCATCTTATGATCACACCGGCAACAGTTCTGAGTGTCGAGATGTCACTATCATAAAAAAAGAGAGTTTTAAACTTACCGGACCAGAAGGCGGGGAAGGTATGACTGAATCAGCAACAGTTATCTGAGGAGCATTATCTATGGGTGTCAGTCTTCTTCCTGATGGAGGACGAGAGGATTCCCCCTCAGACTGATAGCTGCCTAGGCTGCAACAAAGGACAATTAAAATTGATTCCCTTTTTGCTATTATAGGGTGGAACCTCGCCAAATGACCTACCCATTCATACCGCCAAAAGTGAATGGTGGTCACATTTAAACAGGGTTCCTCTGTAGTGTTGTTCAGGGTTTTCAATAAGAGCTGGCAGCCGGCTATTTCACATGAACTCACTGCCCTCTTTTCTTTTCCTTGGTTTTTACAAATAGTTCACGATTTAAAAAAGGCACTGAAACAACCACTGGTACATAAAAATAACGGCTTAAAACTTTAAAGGAATGTTAAAATAACATAACAGAAACAACAGATGCCACGGATGGGCAAAACTGAAGAAGACTGAAACGGTTGAAATTAGGGTTTTTGAAAACTGTTCAGCTTAACAGTTTTTCAAAGTTGATCCCTGGCGGCAGCTGCTTGTAACTTCAAAAATAATTCTCAGGAGACATTTGTTTGTCTCGGATCTCTGATTTTGTCATTTACATGTAATCTCTTTGCTTACTTTAAGTTCCATAGCGATTGAGGGCTAGTAATTGGCAAAATTAAACAAAATGAACTGGACTGCTGTGAAACAGCCCCTTTGAAATCTTATTGAAAAGCTGCTGTTCCAGACAATAAAACTATAGATTTATTATCCTACAATCTGTTCTTGAACTAACAATATTTTAACTATTGAAAATAGTGCTAATAAATGGGGCAAACTAATGTATGGATGGATTGGTTCAAATTAAGCTTAATATAGACGATTTAAAGCTTATTTAGATTTTCCTTTCAATTACGTTACATGAGGACAGGTAATAAACACTGCAAAAGGTTGTTTGTTAGACTCATTGAACTGTAGCCAGGCGAATGCCTTTTTTGATTCTTGGCGGAAAGTTCTTTCATTCTTTTTCACACTCCTTCTAGAAACCCTCTGTAGTGTTTGAAATTACACTAATTCTTCTTTGTTGTTTTTCTCAATTTTCCATTTCTTCTACACAAATTTCGGGCAGCGACCTTCTTCTGAAAAAACTATCCAAGGACTTCTGCATTTGATCTACATAATAAATAGGTACACAAATGATCCACTTTCGAAAGAAAACAAAACAAACACAGAAACAAGAAGGATGGCGGAGACATCTTAAAGCTGTGTCCAGATCTCCCCATCCAACAAAAGCCTGGTTACCTAGAGTTCTGTGAAATGCACAGTTTTCATATTGTTTGATTATGCTGTAAGCATATCTTTTAGAACAATAAATTGTTGACATAAAACACAAGCTTATAAAAATGCAAAAACAAACAACTGTTAAAAGTTTTTCCATAACAGAAATTTTTACTAACCATGTCAGATTACTAAGGCTCAATTTTAGTAACCAAACTTTGGAAACTACTAACCGTTGGTTAACAAGTTACCATTAATTTAGAGCCCTGAATTCTATTTATTATTCATCTTCCTGAATAAAGATTTTTTACTTTCACGACACTTTCAATGCATGCCAATCAGGAACAAGAACTTAAGAACATTTCACGCAAGTTTTCAAATAGAATGCAACTATTATGAGGTGAAACTGCATATCCACACCCCTTTTTTTAGAGATATCTGCCAATCGTTGAGGTTGTTCAGTTTGTGCTGTATTTTAAGATCTAAAAGTTCATCCTTAATATGTTGATAACACTCACATAGATCTAAATATGGTCAAGCTTTACAACATTGAGGCAGCTATTAGAGGAACAACAACAAATGATTGATTTTGGAAAAAAAAAACCTCCCAGTGCCTAAGAAATATGACTGCTAGTAAAACAGTTAAGAAAATGTAACATTGCTATGACATACTCTGTAACTATTAATGCTGATCATGACAAATTTTCATCTTTGTGCGATACACTATGTGCGGACCATTTGCTATTATCTTGGTTAACGTTCAAATTTAAGACCCAGTTCAGATGTTGCACTGCACTCTTGAGCTAAAATGAATATGAATTTAGAACGACCAAAATTAATTTATGCAGGCTGAAGTGATTCAGATTCTGATCATTATTTCAGCCAAACTAAATTCAAAAGGTGAAAATGTACATCGCATGACAATAAAATATCCGTAAAATTTTTTTTATTTGGTTAGTTTGGCATCTAAATTAATGCCACGTGACAACTGTTTTTCATGCCTGAGGCAGGTGTGTGAAGGATGGCTGAGCCAATCCAAATTCAAATTAGCAGCTTTGAATTGATTCAGAAATTGTTTGCATGTACAACGTCTTCTTCGAAAAAAACAGATACAGCTGAAGAAAACATTGCAGTGTGCAAAGAAAACACTGTCCAATAGCCTGGGGCTACAGCATTTTGCTATTGGGCTAATGAATTTTGTTCTTAGCTTGCCCGGTGGGCAAGTGAAGTCTTTTGAGAATTCAAATTGCAGAAGAACTGTGTAATCAAACCTGCTCATCAAAAAACGTTAGGGGCTAGTTAAAGTGATGTTTGGGCTAGTACATGCTAGCTACAGCTAGCCCAAATGGCAAGCTCTAAAACTGACTTTCTTTGCACCCTGCATGAGAGAGAAATCGCATTCTCTCAAGCCTCACACAGATGGAACATGTTTCCAGTTGCAGAGGGTTTTCACTAAGGATCTAAGCAACATTATACTTACTGAGTGGTCGAGGTCAATTTTTTTAAATAAAAAAAAGACATATTTTAGCTACTCAAAAGTAATGACTATGCGAAAGTAGTAGTCACCCAAAAGTTGCAGTCTCCAAAAGTAATGGGGTCGCTACTTTTGAAGCTCTACAGTATGGGTTTTAAGCACTTCCATAATGATTTTAAAAATTCCAACAAGATAGTGGATACTATTTCATTGGGAATAGATTTACAGATCATAAGAACATCTCCACACATCCAATCCACAATATGTACATGCTCATTCACAACACACACTCCGTGTGAGCAAAAATTTTCATATCAAAGAAATAAAATGATCCGAAAAAAGAAACTGTACAAAAGATTAGCGGGTAGATAAAAATAATTTTGCGCTAGCGGGCAAAGTGCATAACTTTTAACATCCCCCCAGCAATAGTGCGGTGCAAGGTTAAAATAATTAAGTTCGTGTCAGGTGTCCATAACCAAAATGGACTGTTGTAGAAATCAGATGGTATTATCAAAATACGATAAGAGTCCTTGCGCTTTGCAGTGTTGATAATAAACATGGCAATAATCGAATTTTAAAAGTTTCTGCTGACATTTGGCAAATAACAGTAAACAATAATTGAACGCCTGTCAAAGAATATTAAGATGACGATACCTGAACGCAGAAGGAGGTCTTCCTTCATAAGGCTTAGACGAGCTGCCTCCAAAGAGCGTCCTGTTTGATTCGACCGGTGTAAAAGGCCTTTTTGTGTCCAGGGAACGAAGAGATGATCTGGCCTCCGAGACGATGTTTGCACTTGTAGGACCGTCCGTCGCATAAAACGGACGGCTGGAAGCCTTCTCCCCTTTGCGCGATTTACGCGACCGAGGTGGGTCCATTGTTCACTGAGAGAATTTCTGCTACATTCTTAAATCGTTAGCTGGTAAAAACAACAATGAGCACATCGTTGAACAACTTATAACACCGACATTTTACACTTGTCCTCAGTTACAACGCTCGTTCCTAAGAACGCCTTGATGACCGACTGGAGCCCAGCAGCTCAGGATGTCGGTTCGGTGAGTCTTCGTAGAGATTTCCGAAATGCCTCCCGACTCTTCATAACCAATCATAAAATGATTAGCCAACGAAAATAATTTCGGGTGATTTCGGGTTGATCTTGTTCCAACAGTGCTGGACTCATTGCGGTCAGCGGTTTGCCGTTCGAACTTCGAATTTCTAAAATGGCGGGATCATGTGGATCATTTCGGCAACTCGAAGACAAGCCATGTTCTGCGGAAATCCTTTGTCAGAAATGGTCACCAAAAATGGATTTGCTTGCACTTGTTACAGTCGAGGGGGAGGTGTGGTTACAGAGGCTGTCTTGGAAGCGGGTGTGGGCAATTTCAGCCTCAGAAGCTGATGAAAGAGCTCTGTCTGTCGCATGGCGGCCCGATGGCAAGGTTTTAGCCGTTGCATTCAACAATGGTAAAGTTAAACTATTCAATATCGAAAATGCTGAATGCATTCATGAGACCAAGATTGAAATGACGCCAACTTTTACAGAGTGGATGGAAGAAGCCAAGAACAGTACAGGCGAAGAAACGTTCCTAAACAGTATCATCTTTGAAGAAAAATCAGAGCTCTATCTTCCTTCACTTTTGCATCTGCCAAAATCTACCGGAGCTTTGTTTTCCAAGGAAGCTTCACAAGAAGAATCAGATGACCCAAAGAAGCTGAAGACCTTGCCCGAGCAGTTGAGTGTATTGGTAATTGGCGATAGCGGTGGCAAAGTGCATTTGTTCCTTTATGGAATTTTCCTCTGTGTTGTTGTGGATACATCAGATTCTAAGCAGAAGCTTCATTGTGAATCCCAAGTTATCAGTGCAATGGTGTCAAATGATCTAAAGGTGCTCTCTGTGATTGTCAAATCAAATATATATGAATCAGATAAGAAAGCTGTGTCTCTGCTACTATATGATACCGGACTCCTTTCTGCAAGATGCCGTGAACTTGCAGTTGTGGCTAAGAAAATGGGCTTAGTTACTTGCTTGTTGGAGTATTTTGATAGTACAATGCAGTCCATGTCAGATGCTTGGGAAGACATACTCCTTGAGATGGGCACAAAGTTGACAGAGTTTGTCGCAGAACGCCTGACAGCTGGATCAAGTGTAAGCAGTGAATTTCTAACCTTACTCACCCGTGGTGTGACAAGTCCGGAGCTCCAGTCCTTTCTTATTCATGATCTCACAGAGAAAGGGCTAAAAAAGCTAGGGAACAGCATTGAGAACTCATATGCAAGCATTCAAACTCTGGCATTGAAGCACTTACAGTGTGTGACTCAGTCTCTAATGTACCATGTGACTGAAATTCATGGCATGTCCCTTTGGTATGAGAAGTTTGGTGTACTGGGTCTGTCGGAGTTTGATTTACAAACAGCTGTGAAAGGCCTTGGTTCAATCATGTTGAAAACCCAAGAGCTGGTCCATGTTATTGAATCAAACCTGAAGAGCTTTAAAGCATTTTTTCAGTGGCTTTATTACATCATCTTGAGCCTTTCTGATGCTGAAATTCCAGACTTCTTAAAACAAAGGAGCCAGCAAGACATCATGTTAGTGTCCGGTTTTATTCAAGATCAACTTGTAGTCAACAGTCAAGGAAAGTTTACACTTGAAAGAGTTGGTCAATATTTTGATCCAAAGCCATTAACTGTAAAACCTTCATTTGGTAACAATGACTGGACAAAGTTTGTGGAAAATCATCCCACCTTGAAGTCCAGTCCTTTGCTTATTCCGGATAATGCAACTGAATCTCTGGTCAGCCTCTCTACACAGCTTCATGAGCACATCAGAAAAGCCTTTGCAGGTCCAATAACTGCAGTTAGCAAATCAGTTTCTTTTTGGAATTCTTTCTCACTATGTGAGATAATGGAGGGTGACCTTTCTTCCCTCTGTTTTGCTCATTCCTCAATGGGTAAACCCATGTGTTCCCTGGTGGTTTTTCCAGAGAATGAAAAGTTGTGTATTCTTTCTTTTGAACCAAATTGTCCTCAGTTATCTTTTACCAGAGTTTTTGTTGACCATCTTCCTTGTGATTGTGAACCAGTTGAATACTCCTTTTCTGATGTGATGTTTTATGACTCAGAATATTTGTCAGTCCTGCTTGAGAAACAAAGGGTGGACAAACATGAGGATGATGACGACCAGGATAAAAGCATGTCAGTATTGGCTCAAGTTCCTCTTCAATGGCTTGAACAGAAGGATTTTCTTGATGTCACTCAACTCGGACAGATGTGTCTAAGTGATCTGCCAGAACCCCCAGCCATTGATGTTGGACCAAGAATTACCCATTATCGGAAATTGACTGCAATGAGGGCAAAGTCTTTGGCTGTTAGTGGAACTCGCAAGGTTGCTTGTGTATTGTCTTTAACACAACGGCATGTACGACTCTTTGATATGGTTGCTGAGGATGATGAGACAGAAGATGATGAAGTTGAGAATGAAGATTTGAACAATTCCTTTGAAGGGCAGTAACTGTCTGGTACTAATACAATATATATTTTTTTATTATGAATTGCCATGTAACAATAATGAAAAGAAGCATATTTTGGATTGGAATAGAAGTGCAAGATTAAGAATAGGCCTAAAAAAAAGATTTGATTTTTTTGGCTGATAAGTGATTGTTATCACTAGAAAAAATGAAGCATGAATAATATTGTCATGACTAATAAATTAGTATTTTTTTTACCTATGACAAAGTTGCGCAGTTTTTGTCAAAGTCAACAGGGTCTCTGCTGTAGCAGTGCTAGGTGGTGCATGGTCACTTTCTTTTGCCTTTTAGAATATTAGACAATCAGGGAATATCTTAATCGTGGGTTTGAATAAAATTTGCGGATGTGCAGCTGGTTTGAGTTTAGTAGACTGTACCAACAAGGTTTGAAAGAATCTTTCCTTGATTGAATTCACGGGGAAAACCGAAGTTGTTGATGCTTATTGGCAGGATCTGGTGCTTGTTAAAAGCACATTAATTTTAAATTTAGTGCAAAGAAAACAGCAGTTAAAAAAATAGTACCAAAATGCAATTTATGATAAACTTGACATTTTGTACTCTACTCAACTCCATTACTTTTTGACGAATTTAGGTTCACCGTTGATTTACTTATGCAATGTCAAGTTTATCATAATATGCATCTTGCTAGGATGTTTATTGCTTTTCATATTTTTAAAATCAGTATTAATACAAGTTAAGAGTGTTTAGGAAACCTTGCCTTTGATTAGCTTAATAATGGCTCAAGAGACATTAAATTACAGTCAACTCTCTCTTTAAACAGACGCCTTTAGGACCAGCATAGCCTGCGAGCAAGCTCTCCGGGGTGCTTTGGCAGCAAGGGTCGGGGGGGAGGGAGAAGGAAAGATTACAACTATGTCTCTAAAATTTGAATATCTGCATCGAAAAGTGAACTCCAGATGTTTTTGTTGATTTCCAGTGGCCATACTGGTGGACCAAAACTGTCCACCAATATGGCATCATCTCCATAGGAAGCTCTACTAAGGTGTCTCAAATGTTTCAGTAAATAACTCACAAACTGTGGGCCACAAAGACCTTAGATTTGGACAAATTGTTTATATATTAGTTTTTTATAACATATTTTCTTGGCTTCTTCCACTGGATGGTTTCCAATTATTTATTTTTATGTGGCGTGTTAATTGCGTGACAGTGAAAACGAAGAATAGAGGTGTCCATCAAGAAGGAGTTGACCGTATTGTGGTTTCCACCCCTGCTCTGGCCCTGTAAAAGACTTACTGTACAGATTGTTTTATCATGTCACAGTGGCTGTATTGGTGTATGGAAATGCGAAATGGCAGACATTTTGTTGCACCAAAAAGTCCTTAAAGGACTGAACACTTTTCTCATAAAAAACTTTCTTTTGCCATTATTTACCTAACGCGACAAAGATAAAGGGTTTGCCCCAAACGAGAACTGAGGACCTGTCTAAACCGGGATATTTTTTAAACCGCATATTTTTTTATCATGAATAGGCCGCGGATGAATGAGTGGATTCATTGGTTTCGTGTGGAAGGAAGGCTGATTCGTGACAAATATATATATGCGGTTTTCAAATTATCCAGATTGAGCAGGTAACGTGATGTTAAGGTGCTGTTTCCTTCAGGTATCGTTGCGTCTTTGCGTCAACTTTGCGTCACGCTTGCGAGTAACAGTAGTACCCAGTCTTTTTCTGAAGACTACCGTCATTCAGCACTCTCGCCTCTCAGCAGTCGAAACTATGGCGCAAAGTAACCTCTCTGCTGTTCTCCGTAAAGTGGACGACTTATGCTTGGTAAGATAAAATTCTGCATATTCCTGCATTCTATTTAAATTACTTGTCATGTGTTTAAGCATATTTAAGTGGTAGAGTAACCAATAAAACGTTCGTTTTGCAGGAAGAACGCCCTGTCCCGCAACCAGGAAAGGGCGGTGAGTTTTCTTCAACATATTTAACTTTAACCCAAGTTTTTACTATTTCTTTGCTTTGATCAGTCGTTAAAAACTCGCGCAGTTTGTTCTTATTGTTACAACATATTTGTTGCTGTGTTTTTCTCTCAAAAATGAATATATTTTGGTGTGAAGTAGATTGTTTTTTCAATACAGGCTATAAACTATGTATGTTCTCACCTCCCGCGACGCAAGTCACGCAAAAATTTCCCAAGCTCGAATCCTAGGATTAGATTTCAAGGAATAAACAAATTTGTACTCTAATGCTGGAATAAGGAGAATAAATAAAGTTTTCCTTCTCCAAATCCCAGAGAGAGAGAGCCTTTTGAACTCTCCAACCTAATGTGAGGATTCACATCAGGTTTAGCTCGAGAAAACAGCTGACTCTTGGCGACTCCACCACTGGTTTCCTTGCGAAATGATGTCTGATTCCACACTGATGACATGTTACCACCCAGATCTGGGTACTGCTTCTGGCCCCAGTTGTTTAAACGTTGGATAGCGCCATCCACCAGATAAATCACTATCCTGCAGATTAGTATTAGGGAAAATAATATTTATTGTACTATCCACTGGATAGAGATTTACTGGTATCTGGTTGATAGAGGCTTGGTGTGCTGAAAATTTACTTCACCCAATCAGAAGCACTACTCAGATCTGGGTAGTGATGAAGTGTCATCAGTATGGAATTTATCTGTTCGTTTCTCATAGAGTACATGTAGTTTCGTGGTAAAACCATTGGAGGCATCACAGGTGGCACAAGCTCGAAATATGACCATCGGCACTGTTGTGTAACATTCAAAATATAAGGATTTGTATGGGAGAAAAAAACAATTGTTTCTGTAGCCTACAAATGTTAAAAGGATTTAAACAAAAATCAGCTAACCTTGCTTCAGTTGTGTGTTTCTTCTTTCCTGTGTGGTTCCCGAGCCAATTTATGGCCATTTAATGGGTGTTATTGGAACTGGTTTGCTCTCTCTATAATAGATTCCCAAGGCTGGGTTCTGGAGCGAAGCAGTCATTCGGATCTGCTAAAGAAAAACAGTCATAAGTTCACTCCTAAGGCTCCAATTGCCTCCATACTCCGCCTATATCCCAGAGCATAGTTCTGCTTTTCATTCGTGATCTTTTTTCAAGTGGCATTTGTGAAAAGAACGAATTAAAGGTTGCTAATCTTTGCAAACATTCCTGTTTGGAGCCATTGACAGAAGCTTCATTTGAACTCCATATTACCCAAATGGTTGAAGATAGTTCAAGTTACTCACGCTTGGGGTGGGTGACAAAACATTGTTCTATGTCGAGATCTCAAATCGAGCAGCCAAAATCACACGGAAATTGGGCTGGTCTGCCTTTTTATACACAACTGTAGACTCGAAGAAAATTTGTACATTGAAATAGTTCATGCATAAACTGACCCTGCTCGGTACAGCGGGCCAGCTCTATGCAGGCAGTAACACTTATTAAATGGCCATAAATTGGCTTGGAAACCACTCAGGAAAGAAAAAACACGCAACTTAAGCAAGGTTAGGTGATTGTTATTTAAATCTTTTTACATTTGAGGGCTACAGAAAAAATAATAATTATTATTATTGTTTTTTCTCCCATACAAATCCTTATATTTCGAACGTTGTACAACAATGCCAATAGTCATATTTCGAGCTTGTGCAAGGAATTTATTCTAGTCAAGGATGATTAATTTTGAAGAATAGAATCTAGGGAATTTTGTCCAGGATGTTGTCTACACCAACTCTCCCTTTAAATAGAAAACTGCAAAAATGGTCACTTATATAATGAGCGTACGGTCCCTTATGAGAGCTTTCCATCACCAAGTTAAGTCACAAATCAAACAGGGTTTCACAAAGGTGATCGTAACTAGAGCTGGTCACTTACGAGTGTGGTCGCGAGGAGACCTTCAACTGTATAATACTATAAACATGATGAATTCTCTCTCTCCATTTTATTTTTTAATAAGAGTAGATGTAATTTGCTTCTTTATGTATGTTAATGTGTTAAATGTGTCTATTACTTCCTCACAGAGGTCCAAATTGCCATGTATGCTGTTGGAATTTGTGGATCAGATGTACATTACTGGAAGAAGGGAAGGATTGGTGACTTTATTCTCAAGGCACCAATGGTTGTTGGTCATGAATCCAGTGGTACAGTGTCTGCTGTTGGTGAAGGAGTTACAGACCTGAAAGTTGGTAAGTTATAATTTCTAACACTTGTTGAGAATTAAGAAGTAATTTTCGCAGATGTTGGTATTTTACTTTTGTATTTGCACTTGTCTTTGTCTGTGGCTGTTGCAGTTCAACCCATCCTTGTGTTGTTTGTTGCCATTTCATGTGTCCTATACAGTTGAAACTCTCTTTAACGGCCACCTTGGGGACAGAAGAAAGTGGCCATTGTAAAGAGGTGGTCGATGTTGAGAGGTTTTAAACAAGAGTCAATGTATGAATTTTTTGTCCGCCGGGACGAAAAAAGGTGGCCGTTGTAGAGTGTTTGCCATTAGCTGAGGTTTGACTGCATAACTGTTTCCAGGGCATGTCAGGATAATTACTCTAAGAGGGCCTCACTAATATCCCAGGAAGAAGTTTTTTCCCTGAATTCCTTCTTGGGTTTCTGTTTAATGGGTGTTTTGATTTGAAATGTTTGAGGAATGTTGAATGGGAAAGATCTGTCACTTGGTGAGACACCGTGACCCCTTTATACAGAAATTTAGAAAAAAAGTAAGGCTGGATTTACGAACATGTAGCTCTATGATCCATTTCAACTGGATCAGCAGTTTTTAAATTACCCTACAATTTCTAATAAGAGAGCATACAGTGAATTTCCATCTGCTGTTTTCAGGAAACGAGCTTGCACTCCTCCCCCGAAGCTATCTCTTCACAGGGTGGACTCGAGAGAGTGGCAGAAATCGAGACAACAGTGGTTTACATGCCATGCAAACTGCCACCTCTTCTTGTTTTTATTTTTATATATATATTTTTTTTTTTCGTGCTAGGTGACAGAGTTGCCATTGAACCTGGATATTCTTGTCGCACATGCAGCTTTTGTAAGGAAGGTCGTTACAATCTGTGTCCAGACATGAAATTTGCTGCCACTCCTCCGTACGATGGCTCTCTCTGCAGATACTATGTTCACCCAGCAGACTTCTGTTTCAAGTACGTAACAGGAGTTAATGATAATCACTTACAGCTGTTACAGATAACACATGTAACCTAACCTGCATTGTCAAAAACATTTCAGGATTTTGGGTTTTTCTTTGACGTCAATCAAACTGTTACCATAGCATCCAATCCTTGCTTGTCAAATAAAGGTGGCAATAACAAACAGTAGCTGAAAAGTTCAAAGTTGGCGGGAATGTACAGATGTATTTTCACCCTCCCATATGTGTTTCTTCTGGACTTGGAAGCTTTATAGGAACAATGTCAGCTAGGGAATCTAAACTTGCCATGTTTCAGTAAGCAGGTAGAACAACGTGAGAGCTAAAAAGTGAAAACACGTGAACTCTGAAGATCAAAAGCAACGAACCTTGAAAAACAGGAACACACAAAATGAATCAAAACCCACCAATCACAAATCACAAACTATAACCTTTGAACCTGTTGAAGTAAACTTCTGTTTCCTAAATGGTCTGCTAAGAAGGTGCCAAGCCTTCAGATTTTGATTGACATTGAAGAAAAACCCAAAATCCAAAGATGTTTTTGACAGCTGTAATAACATTAATATTTGATGTACTTCCTGTGTCTGTTTGATGATTGTTGAGAATATGCACCATGATTTTCAAACTTGTGAGGTTACAATAGCACTTTATCGTCAGTAGGACTACACAGTCACTATTTATAGAACTGAAACTCAGACAAACAAAATAAAATTAACATTACAGAATTCCTCTCTTTTTTTTTCTTTGGTCACCAAAATGTTATCTTTTTCTGACCATTGTCATTTCACAAATTAGTCAATCTGACATTATTAATTTGTGCACTGTGCCATGTAGGGGACACTCCCTCAGGTTGAGTCTCTTAGTGACCCACTGCTGTAACAATTCCACTTTTCTTCTACCGCATTTAACTTTCCTTGCTTATGGAAATAATTCTCTCTGCAGTACAGTTATTTCCCACTCCCCAAGGTGAATTTGGCCTTTTTTTTTATCTTCCTGTCTTTAACGATATAACATCAACGAAATTAGCTCCAAATCTTATTTTAACCAGTGCTTGACTTGTGTCACATTTTTACCTTCAACAGACTTCCTAATCATGTGTCATTTGAAGAAGGTGCTCTTCTTGAACCCCTCTCTGTTGCAGTGCATGCTTGTAACAGGGCTGGAATTACCATGGGAAGTAAAGTTCTTGTTTGTGGAGCTGGTGAGTGGATTTTTCAACATCTGAACACTTTTCTGTACATTCCATGTGGTTAATATAATGTACTCAAAATTTATTAACTTAAACTAACTGTTCATTATTCTTAACTCCTGTTACTGTGGATACACTCAGGACTGTGAGTTACTGTCAGTCTGTAATCACTCAAGGGACAGTCTGTAATAGTGGGGTGAGAGCGGAATTTCCTGAGAAAATGTTAGAGAGATAACATGTATTTACGTGTATTAACTAGCCGGACTTTTGAAGATGAACCTAGTAAAATTTGCAGCCATTTGAGTGGAAAAGGGATAAAAGGTAGGTTTTTTGGGCTAAGGCAGAAAATCACACTATTAAAAGGAAAGGAAATGAAAGGAAAAATAGAAACAGCTGAGCTAGGAGAGAGGAAGGAGGAGAATTAGTTTATATTTTGCCTACTTTCTGATAGTTTTTATGGTTAACGTTTTCAAAAATCCAGCCAGATATGCAAAAGTGAAATGTCCTTTTCTCAAGTACATGTCTAATAATGGGAGTTTCAATCAAACACCAGACCCTTTAACTTTTTTGGGAGGGGGGGATTTAGTAGCCCATACTTTTGTGTTCTGGGGGGCAGAGCCACAAGATGATTGGCAGCAATTCACCGTTCAGGAAAAATCCTTCAAGGCTCTGCTGCCAAGAAAATATCCCGTGCATAATAATCCCTCCAGCTACACAGGCTAGAGATTTTGCCACTATTGTTGTATATATTGTAATGAGTCATTGTGTGAGGTGCCATAGTTGGGCAAGTGAGATTACGAGAGCGGATCTGTCAAGTGTGTGAAGAGTGAAGTGATTGGAATAAAAATAGTGGAAACTTGTCATTTTTGCAGTATATTTCATTCGTTATACTTATACGGATTGTAACAGTATCATCAGGTTGCCTACAGTAATGAAGTGTCCATAAGGCAAGAGTTGACTGTACTGATATAACTTCACAATCCTTTAGGTCCCATTGGTTTAGTCAACCTTATGACTGCTAAAGCTTGTGGAGCCACTACAGTTACCATCACAGGTAATTATATCACAGATCAGGGGCTGGTCGTTTATTACCTGTGAGGGGGGGAGGGGAGGGAAGGTGGGCAGCTATTTTGAGAAAGCTTAGAAGATTTTCAAACCAACCCCCCACTTCATGCTAGTTTTTTAGAATGTCATCCCCATAATTTTTACATTTTGTGAAAGTGACCCCCCCTGCCCCCCTGCCCCCCCCCACCCAATTGCTGAGGAAACTACTAATATTCTAGGTACAAACCTTGCTGAAGTTCACCACATTCTTCATCCACAGTCTTGTTTTTAAGATCAGTGTTTATTTATTCATGGCTGTTTCATTCAGTTTCGATTCACGTTTGTTCCCGGTTTGTGCTACTTCCATGAAATGATTTACTAAAATGACTCTCTGGGTAATGATCCTCTTTCAGAAAATGACCCCCCCAAACCAAACAAGATGTTGAGAATGACCCCCGGCAAAATGCTCCCCTCCCCCACTCCCTTTTTACTTGTAATAAATGAGCAGCCCCTTGCATGGACACACCCAATACTTGATCTTTTTATTCATCTGAAATTTTCAGAACAACCAAAAATGTATTGAATGATTTGCTCATTGAAGATGTAAAAATCCTTCCAGAATCAATTTTAGGTGAGGGTAGACAGGGTGAGAGAGTAACTTTTGCAAAAGTTTCTTGCAAAAAAAAAAAATTGCAGAAGGTATTTTAAATTCCAAGTGTACCATTTTCTTGTAAGTACATAGTCATGTAGTATAGTTTTGTACAAGGCTGTAAATTTTGAAGTCTCAATTCTGCTATTCCAGGACAAGGCACAAACTGACTACAGTTGATTACATGTAAACGCATTAATTTTTACTTCTCTGCTAATACAGCAAGGAAAACTGAACAAAATTAATAAAATCAGATGGTTAATTTTTAGAGGTATTATAAGGAGAAATATTAGAAAAAAAGGTGGTATTATGAGAACAATATGTCTTTCTTACTCCGACCTGTACACTGTACATCTCACATTGAAAATGCTTTCACATAATATGCTATCACTGAAACAACAATGTTATATTTTTGCCAATTCTTATAATAAAGGTTTAAAGAGTAAATTGCACTAAAATCCAGCTAGTTTAAGGCACTTCACTCAGATATTTAGAAACAAATATACTGCAATAAACTAGAACATAACAGGATAAAAAAAACCCAACTAGCAGGAGGCAGCCAGGTGGCTATTTAAAAGCGTGGGTGAGGATTTGAACTCAGAACAGCTGAAAACAAATCCAGCAAGTGGCCAGAACAGGACTCGAACCTGGTACCACCGGATTGTGAGGCCAACAAGCTGGTTACACAACCTACACAACCACACTGCCTCAGAATATCCATAATTGATTTTATGGTAATAAATTGTCTTAGATATTGATGAGGGGAGACTTAATAAAGCCAAAGAGCTTGGTGCTGACTACATTATCAAAGTGGATCCAAGTAAAGACAGCAAGGACTTGGCCAATAGAGTAAAGGACTGCATGGGACCAGCTGATCAAAGCATTGAGTGTAGTGGGGCAGAGGCAAGCTTTCATACTGCAATTCATGTAAGTTGAATTGAAGTGGAACATCATCAAGCAGTTCAATGTAGAAATAAACATTAAAGGTGTTCCCAATTTGGCAATCAGTCCACAGACAAGCTGGCAGTTAATAAATTTTGTCCTCGCTAGGATCTGTTCTCCCAGCACTTATGCATTCCTTCAGTATTGGAGTAGTTTCAAGGTCTTGGGGTTAAATTATGTTTTTTCATTTTCCCAAGAAAAATGATAACCTGAGTAAGGATGGAGCTGAGTCAAAATTTAACTCTTAGAAGGACCTCATCACCTAAGGATTTCTTAAGAACTTGTGTCCATGTGTTCCATGATTGAATCACAATTTGGTAGTGATGGTCTTTGAGGAGAGGTGCAGGGAAAATTGAAGCATGTGGAGAAAACCTTCTGGATCAAAGGACAGAATCATTAACAAACTGCTACTCGACCCACACATGGCATCTACGCTTAGATTTGAGCCCGGGCCACATTGGTGGGAGGCGAGTGCTCTCACCACTGCATTATTGTTTTTTTCAGGCTACGAAATCAGGAGGTACTTTAGTGGTTGTAGGGATGGGTAAACCTGAAGTGAAGTTTCCTATTGTAGATGCACTGGTCAGAGAGGTGGATATCAGAGGCATATTTAGATACGTGAACTGGTGAGTTGGAAACTGTTGAAAATTCTAAGATAAGGTCCTTCTCCTTTCCCAAATTTGAAATCATACAGACCTCTCTCACATTCTACTCCAGTGAACATACACACTGAAATGAGGTCAAGGCTTGGGTAGACAGTTCCAGAATTTTGACACCCGAAGTAACAAGGTAGTTCACTGTAAGCCGCCCTCTCTATTAAACCTCCCTTCTCAGCTGAAGAAAGTTATCACCCACCCCTTACCCCCGCCCACTTTGATTTTAAATGATAGACTTTAATAATCTCAACTGTAACACTTCACGTGGACTGACCAGGTATATCATATGCTGGAAGCTCGCTTTTGTTTTTGATCGTCAGCTGCCTGACCTCCAACTTCATGTACCTGAGCCTTTACACCTTACTGTCTAGTTTTTATGGAGAATTGATACCTATCATGTTCACTAAGTTGAATGAAATCCCCCTCTCAAGTAAGTCCTCCCCTCTCTATTAGGCCCCCTAAAATGTGCTTGAAATAAATAAGCCCCCTGCGGGCCTAACAGAGGATTTACTGTAATAGCATAAACTAGCGTGATGCTGATCACTGAGTAAAGGCTTAAATAATAAGCCTGCAAGCCTGCTCTCTATTTTGAGCAGTACATGAAGGGCCCTGTGAGAGCTAGTTTATTTTAACAAGCATGCTTTAAAGCAGCTAAAGTTTTTTTTGCTTTCTTTCTTTATTGTAGTTACCCCAAAGCTTTGGCCTTGGTTGCCTCTGGAGCGGTGAATGTTAAACCTCTTGTCACTCATCACTTCAAACTTGAGCAGTCACTTGAAGCTTTTGAAACTTCTCAAACCGGCGCAGGAGGAGCTATCAAAGTTATGATTCATTGCAATGAGGATTATCGGATGAAATAAAAATGTGTTGGAACATTACAGCAAAATG